TTTAGTCGAATCGTAGTTTGATCTTAGTCAACATTATTTTTCTTAATTTTGAATCATTCTGATCAAAATTTTATTCATCTGAATTAGAAACTAATATAACTAAGAAACTTTGGACTTTTTTTCCATTATATGACATTTTCTGAATTCCTCAACCAAAGTGGAGGATCATATCAGTGAAGTGGGGAGAGCACTTCGGACTCACTTGCATTAGGGAATGGCTGTGCCTCGATCTACTCGAACAGGGCAACAAGCACAAGCTCCAACACTAGCATTTCCAAGTGCTGATGCTCCTGTGGGTCATATACTATGGAGAACACAACAGATAGGGAACACTACTTTTCTTCGGTTGAAGCTCTAATTTTTGGGAATTCTGGAAATAGCAGTTCAGCAGATACCTCCATGGTTGATATAGTTGGAGCAAAATACAGTAGCTGTTCCTGTGTTTAAGAGTCACGGTTTACTCTGTTGCTGAAACTGGAGGTGGCAAAGGTAGAGAGTTACAATGACCTAGAAAAGACAATTTATGATTTCTGTGTAAACAACCATCACTTAGCTCATCAACACTTCATGGTGGTTAGACTTTCAATAATCAAACAAGCAACTTTTCATAATAATGCTTATGGCTCTGAAAAGTGTATACTCTGAAGAGTGAAAGAGCTGAAACAAGAGCAGAAAGGTTTTGGAACCCAAGAAAAAAGGCATTTCACCTGGAAATGGCCTTCATAAACCTGTTTATGGAGGTAAACATGCTCACGGCCTTATCTAAGAACGACGGTGCCTTCTCTGATTTCTCGTCCACATTTCCAAATATCAGCTGCATTTGAATGTAGGGGAAAGAAGATCAATTTATAGTGGCCACATAAGACACGTTTCTGAACTGAGTTAAGTAAACCCGCTAGCTATTCAGCTAGACAATCTCAACAAAACGAAGCTGAGATTTTAGCTTTAATGATCGGATATAACCTTGCAGAGATGAAAAGGCATATAGTGACAGTTTGTAGAGGCATTTAACTTAAACTATAGCATTAATTTTGAGCTATATAGGTTTGCTTTATGCAAGATTTCTCTTATAATCAAAAGGTCAATGGTTGGTTCCAGTCCTTCAGCTCCTTGGACTAGCCACAATTGTATAGTTGGTACTTCAGAAAAAATATCATAATTCCAATAGCCAATAGCACTGATAAGTTTCTTTTCATTATCATGGCTCAATTGTATGCAATCATGAGTATCCACTTGGAAAAGTACTTATTGAATGTTATAAGATAGTAGATGTGAGGAAATGACCTCAATATCTGTTGCATCAGGACGTCCGGGTTGTTCTTTGGCCAGCAAGTATCTACCCGGCCTATTTACATCATCGTAGAACACTTTCCACATCCTACATGGTAAATGAAGTGTTGTAGAAAATTCATCCCAGTAACAGGCTCTTCCAATTAAAACGCAAAGTTCAGGCAAACTGATGCCTATAAGTTTCACTTACCTAGGATAACATCTAAAGATTGCTCCAGTTGGCAAAGGTCTCATCGAGTAAACAACAGTGAAAGTGCTGCATGTATCACAGTTTGATAGGACCAAGAAAGAAATACCTAATGTTAGAAACATAATATCTTGTTTAAATATATTTGTTGAAAGCAATAGAAAGACATTTGCAACTCAGCAATTAATGAGAGCTTGATGAATACTTGCCTTAAGAAATATCTCCGGAGATTGCGAACATTGATTCCAACTCCGACATCTTCGCTAACAAGCCGTGGGTTCCACATGATAAGAGGCCTTGGCTAATAACATAATAATGAGGAATGCTGTGTAAGCAAAATGATCCATCTTAGCAGGTAAGATTGCTCTAGGTATAGATACATATGCAAAATATTTGAGTTTTATTACTTTTATATACGACATGACAAAGGCAGGGCGCTTTGAGCTGCATGCATGGTCACGGAGAACTGTCATATAAGAACTAAGAATCCCAAGGCATAAAAATAGCTAAAACACGGATCAGATGAGACCCAATGATAACTAAAAAATGGATTAGCGTTGCTTTTTACTTAACGACAAAGTTTTCAAAACAAAGGCCAAGGCATAAGCACAAATTTAACTGCTATAGTATGAGCAACCAATTTGGCAAGCAAAACCAGCACAAAAAAATGAAAGAATGATGCTAGAATTGTTCATCAAAGAAAGATAATTGAAAGTCTTATTATTTTCTCTTCAATGAAACAAAAAACTTACTGGATCCTCAGATAGAAGGGTAGCAACTCGTTCCACATACTCCAACATCTGATAATCAGGAACAACCATAACTACAACTTCATCTTCGTTGTCTACAGGTTTCCGGTCGCTTAAGCTGCATCACAGATGGGAGTAACTAAATTCAGAAATAAAAGAAAAATTGGGAAGAGGACAAATACAGTTTAACTACAATCCAAATTTAGAAGAGCTAGACCAGCAAATTTAAGCTAACCAAATTTTAAGACCTAGGCTACAAGAAAAGATTCTGGGTAAGTTGACCCAGATGCTTTCAATCTCCAAACAGCTGTGCGCTTCACACCTATACCAGCCTAAACTGATTAATAGCATATTCATTTTTTTTTTCTACAACTGCCATAGCAATCTCATCAGTCTCAGTTCAAAATGTTCAGTTCAAGTTGATAAACTGGCTTTCAACATTATCAAGGTTCAATAAACATACATAAATTGATCCTTATGCCTATTCCCATGAAGAGGAAAAAGATTTATGGTCATGTATTCATCAACCAAACTCACAGTTGATACATTAGTTGCAAAAAAATGGACTATTTTCTGAACAAATGGGATAAATGACATGATAGGGTTTCATCCAATTTTTCTTTTATTTTCAATTGGCATGGTATATGAGTTTATTTCAAGTAGATGTATTATCTGTTGAAGAATTCTACTAAGGGGCTACCAGTAAAATGTTATCAAACAGAAACTAACTAAACTGAATGATAAATGAAAAAAGAAAAAAAACACAAGTACCTGGAAAACCCAAAGTTTGCATCCGGCCACTGATACTTCAGAAGAGCAGCTGCTCCAGCATCAGGAAAAATGGCTTTTACTCTCTAGGAGATAATTAACCAGAAAGTACATGAATGAAGCTTCGAAGCATATGATTTTTCAGGACATTATTATCCTCTATAATGCTTAATTAATATTATCAACTGCATAAAATGGTTCTTGTGCTGAATAAAGTGTGAGTATCTTAGTTCCCTATCTGAATTTACTTGATTTGATTCAATAATTTATTCCATTTTGATCCATATTTCGTGCAAATTGAAATGTGCACTTTCTCGTCACAATTGCAAAGTTTATCAATAGTTATGTCGACATACAATGGAATGGTGCCCAAAATGCATGAGGAATAAGCATATACAAAATTCAACTACAATTTAGCAAATAAAACCCAAATGAGTATCCATTTATGGAATTAAAGGGATAAAGAACTAAAAGCATTAAACTTGATTTCCAGGAGGAAAATCCTTCAGCAAGCCGTTTATGTCATGTAAAATTTTATCCACAGTGACTAAACAAATTTGTGATGTCATGCATTGTTCAGTCCTTCCAGTAAGCATATCCGAGGCCAAGAGTATAGGGGTTGACTAAATCAATATGATACATTTTAGGGAAACTACTTTCTGACCTGACCCCCTGATTCCTCTATAAGTGACTCCAAAAAGATTCTTGATAGTTCCCATAACTCAGCTTGAGCACCTTCAGCATCAAGAAATTGTATTTGAGGAATTAGAAGTTCTACCTGAAAGAAGAAAGAACATAGATTGTCATCAAGCCAAAAATGTTTGAAGATCTTTGCACATTTTACATCTCAAGCCAGCTAAACAGTAACCACAACGTTTTGACAACATAGTAGTAGTAATTGTAGTAAATATCAAAAAATTATATACTTCCATTTCGGCGACTTATCAAGACACTCTGAATTATACACTAATGTAATACATGAATGCTCGATCAGCACCGAGTTTGCAGTCAATTAGTCGATAACACTTACAATAGCTCTCATTCCTCCAGAAGATATGAACGAAGCACTTGCTTGACTTGACTGCCGGATCGCACCCTCCAAATCCGATGGCAAGTCACTGGATCAAGGCAAAACCCATCAGTGAGTTTGTTCGCCTCCAGTAAAATTCACTGAATTAAGAATTAACTATCAATCCACAAAAAAAGGAAAGAAACATACAAATCCTAAATTATGCAGTTCAAATTTCCAAAAACAAAAGGGGAAAAAAAAAGATTACTTTTTTATACAGAAAAACCAGAGAAAACTTTTGGAAAAGAACGATACTGACCGAAACAAATGATTGATACTTCTCTAAGATCATGGAAGTAGGATTGTGTGGTGGCAATCGAACCTGTCTTGGTCTAATTCTTGCTGTTCCGGCACCGCAGCCGTCCCTGAATTGGGGCCATCTGAAGACAGCGGGGGGACGTCGGAGGGGGCGTCGAAATTCTCAAACTTGGCGCGCGCAAAGAGTCTCCCGCAGCGAGTTAGGGCCACGGACGGGGTGCGGCGAGGCACGGGGAGAGGGCCGGAAGAAGCATGAGCGTAGCTGCTGTAGAAATTGTGGCAGGATACGGAAGCGGCAGTAGCGGCGGCCATTCTTTAGCTTCTGCTAACGCTCTCCCCCTCCCCCTCCTTCCCGAATCGAATCACCCGAGACCGGAGATAATGCAACATTACTTGTATGCATTATATATTATTCCTACTCGTCGTCAACTCTTAGCGTCTCACCCTATCTATCTTATATGTGGGTCCCATTTAACTTTATATATATATATAGACTAATGCTTTTATCTTGAGTCAAGTTTTCCAAAGGAAAAAAGAGTTCACACCAACCGTGCCTGACGAGGGAATAGCAAAGGAGCTCCAATGTCTCCCAAGGAATCTGATGAAGTGTTGTGCACCGGCCACGGATAAGGGAACAGCAGCAAAGGAGGCTCCAATGTCTCCCAAGGAATCTGATGAAGTGTTGTGCACCGGCCACGGATAAGGGAACAGCAGCAAAGGAGGCTCCAATGTCTCCCAAGGAATCTGATGAAGTGTTGTGCACCGGCCACGGATAAGGGAACAGCAGCAAAGCAGCTCCGACATCGCGGCCAGAAATGGAAAGTTTACGTGATTTCACGTGGCCACTAGAGACCACGGCATTAGGTGGATCAGCGGTGGAGAAGAAGAGCCTGGAATAGCGGAGGGTGAGGAGGAAGAGGGAAGGCCAGGAGGAGGAGATGTTCCACGGAGAGGGCAGAGGAAAGAGGAGCAGGGGATGATCGAAGACCTACAAATCTAGAGGGATTAACCTGAATGTGTCGCGATGAGCGGAAAGAGGAGGGAGCACGAGGAGCAGGGCCAGAAGGGATCCCCTTGGACTGAGAAGAAGTGATCCCAGTCGCCGGAAGGCGTCTTGGTGGGAGAGATGAGGAGGGCACGACGACGCGGTTTCCGTCAAACTATCGCGTGGAGCCACGTTTACACGCTTTGTCAATCCCCCAAGTCGCAGTCAACGGCTTCTCCTAGCGCAAAGCTTCTGCAGTGTGGTGTAGTTTCCCTGCATTTGGTCGGATGTTTCGGTAGGGGAGACGCGGAGACTGTGCAACAGCACTACTCTACTCTGCTGCTCTATAAAGCGCCATGCAGCGTAGTCGAATTACCTCGCCCTGCGCTCACTCATTCCATGATGGAGCTACCAGTTTCAGCAAACAAGCCTGAGCACCATGATCTCCCACACCAACCAGCATCACCATCTCAATTTGCCGGCAGCAGAATCAACGTGTTCGCCATCATCGGATTCGTCTTCCTGACGATCAACTTCCTGGACTCAGCCTACCGGTCGCGCCACGATCCCTCGGCGCTGGCCTTCGCGGTGTTCATCTATTCGGACTTGGCGATGCTCTTCGTTTGCCTGCGGAATTTCGAGAAACTGGGTGCCGACTGCTCACCGGAGAAGAAGGAGCGGGTGAAGGCCACGGTTTGGGCCCTCGTGTCTGCGCTCAACCTGGCGCTCGCATGGCAAGTGGCGAAGATCATGCCGCCGATGCTCGCTGTGGTTGTGTGGCTTATGGCAAGCCTCGTCACCCTCGGTGGGTTTTATGGTCTGTTCCTCTACCGGGATGCCGACGACATTGTTGCTGCCCATGATTACTCTCCTGTCAAGAACAACCAAGTATCGTCACCCGAAGAACATGTCTAATATTGCCAGTTATTGCTGGAAATTATATATATATGTGTATTATTATTATTTTTGTATTGTGTTACTGCTGTGGATCAATAAAACGCTTTATTATTTTATTATTTATGATCGTCGAAGATTTCATATGCCAATCAAACATTGAGACGGGATCAAAGGTGTTTAACGTCAACGCGTGTTAGTCATCTCCATAAACCATCGAGGATATCTCTCTACTCCGATGAGAAAAATCTTCTAACCTGTTATCACCATCATGGTTATTGATATCTCGAAAAACCTAGACAGATACTTGTCCGTCCATATTCTCATGATAGTATCATGTCTTTTTATATTCAATTATATCGATGAAAGATTTAAGATCAACTCAATATAGTATGCGTTGATCCTTTAAGTCGTTCCTCGTCTCTCAAATTAATAATAAAAAAAGACCAGAAGAAGATAGATTTTAGAACCTTCACATCAAGTAAAATGTTGTACAACTTCTTAGAGGCGAAGTCTTGCTCTTCGATCAAACAAAGACCGGGTCTCTAATTTTACAGGGATAACAAACCAAGTACAAGTTTCACTTATCGATTACACTAGTCTTTCTCATCTAATGTGCTCTTCTGTGAGCCTGATCTTTCCAACTGAGAAATCACTAAATCGATCATCATTGGTGCTATAGGTTTATAAGAAATTATTCGAACGTATTATCATGTTTTTATTTGTTCGATAGCTTCAAAAAGTACCTATGAATGGTTAAAAAGATCGGATGAACTTATGAACCCTTAATTCTCCTATTCTTCAATCAACTTATTATCTAATTGGCCAAGTTGGCAATCCAAATCGTCATTCATTTGGTGATGACGAGTGGTAAGAAACGTCAGGGGGGAAGGATAGGTCAAGGTCTTCGCAGTGGTGTCTATAAGTATTACAGCTCTAATCCTAGGAAACACGTTTGTGTTTGTTTTCACCCTCTACTTCTTCGTCTTCCTCTTCTTCTTCACGGAGACAATGGCGGATTCCACAAGGATTCATATAGCAGGTGATAGCAGACCTTCAAGCTGTGACATCCTGGTTGTCTTCAGCTTCCTCTTCCTGACGGTCAACGCTGCCGACGCCGCGTGCCGCTCGCTTAACGATCCGGCCACGGTGGGGCTGGTCCTCTTCTCCTACGTCGACGTGGTGTGTCTCTTCTGCTGCCTCGCGCGGTTCGAGAAGCTCGGCCCGGACACCCCGCCGGCCAAGAGGAGGAATCTGAAGGCCGGCATCTGGGTGCTGGCAACCGCGCTCAGCCTCGCCTTCGCGTGGCGCGTTGCAGAGATGATGCCGTGGGCGTTAGTGGTTGCTCTCTGGGGCATGTCTTTGTCCGTGGCACTCTCTGGCTTTTATGGCCTCTTCCTCTACTAGCAGCAAAACCATTGTTATTATGCTTGATGTAGTTGGATAATAATTGGCATGTATTGATAGCAAATAAGATTTTCTCAATTACACTAAATCTGAAAATTCTCTTTACTAACATATATAACATATATAACATATTTACCGATCAATTAAGTAGACTCACTCATGAAATATTTAGTAAGTAAATTATTTTCGTTGTATCGATCCAAGATCGACTGACAGAAGCTTAATCTTACGGAGACATGATAACAAATAAGATTTTCTCAACTGCACGAGGAAGAAATTACGTTGATCGGTTGAGAAAAATTCTTTCTTCTAACGTATATAAATAGACATTATATTAAATTAATTTGCTTTCTCGTTTACATTTCAATTTATCATATATTATATATGATATCCCTATAGGTGTCGAACCCCACTGAGGCCACGAAACGAAACTCGAGAGTCCATAAATTTCAAGCAATGTTACAACAGCACCATGTATCAATAACCTAAAAATTACCAACATGAGAGCTGCAATTTCTACTGCATTTCACTATGTCAATAAGGTGCAGGTATTTTGGTACATCAACCGACGACAAAAGCTTACGGTCATTGCAATATCAGAGTTACACAATGGAGCATCAGAGACATGCTCTCCCCCCTGATTCGCTGACTCGAATAATTATTCCACAAGGTGATCCAAAAAACGTTGATGGCACAGAAAAATGAACTCAGCAGCATACATCTCGATCTCTACAACGTGGCCAGCGGTAACCCAGCAGTGGTGAAGTAAGAGGCAAGATCAACGTTCAGGTCATCGTACATGCTCAAGAAGGGATGTTTCTGGATGGGTAAATTGCAATGTTGTGAGTGAAGGAATCGATAATGCAAGTTTTCTGTCCCTTTGTTAGGGAAAAAAGACATGAATTAAGGTAACAGTGTGACTTACCAAAAGCACCTGAGCAGAATTTCTCTCGTTTGGATTTTTTTGTAAACTGGAATCATAGCATATTAAAGTATCTTAGTAGAGAATCAAAAGATACAGTTGAACACTTCTGAAAGTGAAACAGAAACAGAAAAAGAAAATCATAGTACAACCAATCTGCCGTGATCAGAATGACATGAAATGACTATAATAATTTTTTTTTTTTCACAAGTCCAAATTTTAGGGGCATATATAATTTTCGTGTAAAATTGATCAATCATTAGTTCTTATTCATTTTTTTTTTTCAACGTACCGTACCTTTATCAGGTCCCGAAAAAGAAGGAAGACAAAAATGTATAGACAGCAAAACAAACTCTTATTAGAAATTGGCCAAGATATCACACACACTAAAGTTTTTCATTTTTTTCAACATACCATACCTTATCCTAGTGTTCTTTTATGAGTAACAGTTTATCAAGGCCCGAAAAGGAAGGAAAACAAAAATGTATAGACAGCAAAATGAAATCTTACTAGAAATTGGCAACGATATCACACACACTGTAAAGTTTATTCCCTAACCGGCATTTCAACTAGATGATGAGGTGCATGAGCACAAAGACAATGATCATATTTCCTATCAAACTAGGAAGTCTGATAGTCTCATTGAGAAGTCTGTAGTTTTCAGGAGATAGCACATATCTAAAGAGATGAGAATAAATGCCTAATATTGTGCATGGAATCTCCACATGGAACATATAGAACTCGGTGAAGTTACAAGATTGATTACCCAAGCACATCAATTGTTGTCTTTAGATAATAATCAATGGTACAAAAAGCAAGGCAATTGGAACTTTAAAAGCTACAGCATTAGTTAACCCTTAACATACAATGATCTTGAAATTTCTATGTTGTCCCAACCGAGAAAATTTAGCAAGGATGACCCCTATCACTATGATGTCTTAACTTCATGTTCACCTATGTCCTTCATGGGTAAATGCAGAGCTGCCCGATTCTTAAAAGTTACAAATAGCTGTCAATACTTTATCGAACAGATCTTAATTCAACGATTGAACGAAGCAAAATTGACACCTCATGATTTAAAGGAGTGCATCAACCAAACTATGTTTACCTTAAATAAATTCGAATTATCCTGAAATCTATGGAACGGTAACTTTAACATATTCAAATATGGAACAAGAAACAGATGGAAGCTCATCATCAAAAGCAGGCAGCAAGTTTCTCCTTCCAAGAAAGAAAGCAGCAAAAGTTATATAGAATTATAAGCAATAAGATTTCATATCAATATTAGCACATTTTAGGGTTAATGTGAGGCAGCATCTTTACCATTCAGAAATAAAAGAGGAATACTCCGCCGAGAACTGATCAGGAGGTGCAAAAGGTGGTGGCTGTTCAACAACTTCTTCAAGAAGCTCATAGAAGCTATCACAAGGTGGGTAAGGAAACTGACCAGTAGCACATTCCAGCATAATCAGACCCAAGCTCCAAATATCACCTTTGTGACCATGTTTCTGTCCAGTAATTCTTTCTGGCTATCAAGGCAAAAGTTCTAGCATGAATAAAGTCTCAAAGTTTCAGAGATGTTAATTTACAGAACAGTTTGCTGATAACACCAAAACAAGACAAAATAAGATCTTGTTGCAAACAAAGTACCAGCAGTTCTAGGGACAGATACTTACAGACATATAGTTATAGGTACCAGTAAAGGTGTCACGCTGACCCGAGGAGCTTGCGATTATTGCACTCACACCAAAGTCGGATATCTTGACTTCCCCGCTATGATTGATCAAAATGTTTGATGGTTTCAAATCCCGATGAATTATGTGCTTCTCATGGTGAAGATACGTCAAACCATGTAGCACCTGCATGAAGAAAGAAAAATGCTCAGGAAGATGATGACTTCCATTTCACTGATGTGCTACAATAGGTCACATAAGCATTGATTATCGGTGTCATTCAACACTGACCTGCTTACAGATTGCAGCAAGATATGCTTCTGGAATTGTTTTTACATTCTTCAGAAAATCTGCAAGTGAGCCCCCATCCATATACTCCAAGACTATAGAGATCACACCATTGTCATAAAAACACTGATAGCATACGACCACAAAAGGGGACCTGGTTGATAAGTTTATCCTAAGTTCCTGGGCAATCTGTTTCCGTATATTCTCTTGAATGTTCATTTGTATAACCTGAATGCTAAAAGGCGTTAGGAACTTCCAATTGAACTACAGAACAGGAGAACTATGTAAAAAAAAAGGGCACCTGGAAATAAGTGAAAAGCATAAAAATGTACTAAAACTATATGCAGCATGCAACAACTCGAAATAACAAAGATAAGTGAAATCAGTTATGAGAACTTAATCTTCTAATCCTAACTACAGAAACAAACAAGGAGATATTGAGCATTCTCTGACACAGAACAGTTTCCAAGCCATTCCAATAACTAAATTGTCACCAAGACAATGGCATCTTCCATTTGTCACCAAGCTATTTCAATGCACTCCCAAGGGTAAGCTCAGTTCGTAGGATGTGATGGGTGTACGGGAGCAAGATCACAAAATACCGTCCAACAATATAGACAAGATGTGAGGGCATTTCAGTCCAGACTTCAACCGAAGAACTGAATCTTGTGCAAAATAGGTGCAGAGGGTTGCATGTACAGGAGCAAGGCAGTGTTGTATGTCAAAGGCCACTCATAAAATTCCCAACCAAAGACAGAAACAAGGTCAAAGAACAAGTTTTCTTTATTTTGCACAACGAACATAAATTTAAAATAGAAAAAAGAGTCTTCAATAACTCAGAGTGAAACCCTGTGGATGAAGCTCCTTTTCAGGACTTTAAGAAGTCTGCAAATGTCTTTCTCTCCTTTCAGTGGTTGATGTGGCTCCGTCACAAACATTCAAGTCAGTAAAAGAAAGACAACATAATACGTTGGTAAAAGTAGAACTGACAAATATCCATATCTCATATCTGACATAAAATGAATGCCATGATAGCTGATGCTATACCTTGACAGCAAAAAATTGGCTGGTCCATTTATGTCGAACCAGTTGCACGATTCCACCATTACCCTTTCCAACTACTTTAACTGCATCCAAGTCAGCCAAACTCAATTGGTCGTCCACTGAGTCAGCCAAACTCAATTGGTCATCCAATGGTTTTATGGGCGGTGGCTGCATTAAAAAACATAAGCCATACATTGAGAAGGTCCATAATGATCTGTACTCCACAGGCCAGGTACTTTGCAAAGGCATGGTAACAACAAGGATATTGGTAGAAATTTGACAGAAGAAAGAAATTGTTATGCAGAACTTCTAATTATGAGAATGCAAAAGTCAATTTTGACATGTGTCACCACGAAGAAGAAAAGATACCATCTACTGTACATAAACTGAGACCTTGATTAGTCCCATGTCCAAAGTGGAACGACGGTTATGAAGGTATACAAGAGCAGTTAGGCAAGTTATCAATAGCTTTGCCTTTAAACATTTTTTGATCACATAGTTAAGGCTTTGGTTTTAAAATGGCTAGTGGACTATCAGATGAGATTGTAACAATTAGTATCAAAACAAGCAACCTTAAAACCTAAACAGTAAATCTTAATTTGACTTCCTCAATTGGTAAACTATTTTTAGAGACTTTCATGGGTCCAATATTTATGTGTCAGAATCAAGTTGCAAAGGAAAAAGTTACCATTGCCCAATCTAGCTTTTGTTGGCTCAATATCGTTGCCAAGGCCTGATTAATGGGTAACTCTCTGGCTAGATCAAAGACTTTAGCTCCAGAATAATTTTAAATTTCGATCAAACAAATAATAAGCTCTATCAGACTTCCCAAGTACAATTTACATCTTAGCGAGCAGGGCTGCGAAATCAACTACAAAGCAGATAGTGCAACTCATTCTTGTTGTGTGCAGTGTGAAAAGAGAGGAACTCAAAAGGCTCCAATTAACATTGAACAACTATTTTAAGGAATCCAATAATTTTTAGATCAAATGAGATAAGAATACACAAAGGTTATTATACATATATATATATTGCAGATACTATAGCTATCTAAATCTTTGTCACCAGCAATTCCTTCCAGCGAGTTATGCCTCAGAATTTCACAGGGATGAGTGGAAACCTTATCATGGTAGGTTCTTAGTGACTTAGATTTTTCGGTTTTTTTATGGGTGAAAGAAGACAGTCTCAATAAAGTTGTGAGAAATTAACATGGCTTTAGGATTGAAGAAAAAAGAAGATGAATGTTGGAATAGCAGAGAGGAAAAGGGAAAGGGGGAAAGGAAAGGAGATTGACATGTTACCCGGTCTTCCTCGCTCTGCGACAGGATCCGGAGCCCGTCCTTGTTGACAAGAAGATCCCCATCCTGGAACGTACCACTCTGTGTCCTACAAACAAAACACAAGAAAAGATGCCAAAAGAACACCAAAAAAAGATCAACAAAAAGCAAATGAACAAAATCGAGCAGGGAGTAGAGATGGAGAAGGATGACTACAAGAACTTGCCGATAGAAGCCTCGGGACCGGGAACGGACAGCTTCAGCTTTGGGTTACCACCAGGCCCTGCCTTCCTCATGGGGACGATCAACTTCTCCCCTCCTCTCACTCTCTCGATCGGGATGCGGGTGGTTTTGGGCAAACTTTTCTTGGGTGGTCGGCGGATCGGAGCCTACGGCGTGTGATGTCGCACGAGTTCTATCTATTCCTCGGAGAGTCTTTAATGGAGACGGGGAGAAAAGTCCGCGGGCGCATTGGTCCGCTTCGTCTTCGGCTTTTACGTGTAGCCTCAAAGTGAGTTGGGTGTTCGTTACCAAAGAATTTTTGTCTATTTCTTTTAACCAAAAATTATATATATATATATATATATATATATATTAGTTTTAATTTTAGGTTCAACTAAAATAGTTTTAATTTTTGTCTATTTTTCTTTTAACCAAAAATTATATATATATATATATATATATATATATATATATATATATATATATATATATATATATAACTACTCATAAAAAAATATATATTATTATTTTAACATAATATATAGATCCATCATGTTTTGATAAAAGTGAGAAAAAATGAAGAAAATAAGAAAACATCAAACTGAATAAATAAATAAAATTTAAATTAAAAAATTATTATAAAGGTTTCTGAAAAATTTAATATCATTTGGACCATTCTTTAAGATTGATACTTTGATTTTGGAATCCTACCAAAATCAAGGTACTAAAAACTAACTTTTTTCATAGTATGTTGACCTATTTAGAATCTCAAATATCAAAAAATAATATATGGATCTATCATGTTTTAGTATAAATAAAAAAACTAAATTATTTATAAATAAATTAGTAATATAAAAAATATAAAATTTTAAAAAAATTATTATAAAGGTCCATTTGGTTACAATTAATTAAAAAAAAGTTTAAAGCATTTGGATTATTTCTTGAGGTTGATATTCTGATTTTAAGGTCCAACCAAAATTTGGGTAGTATATATCATCAACAATTGACTTTTTTAAGTTCATACTTTTACTATAGCTTATTGACCTATTTAAAAGCTAAATTACTAAAAAAAAAAAAAGAAGAAGCATGAAATCATCATGATTTGGTGAAAATGAGAAAAAAAACAAGAAAACACTAAACTTTTCAGATTCTGAACAAATAAAAAAATATCTAAATTAGAAATTTTCTAATAATTCTATAGCATTTAGACTATTCCTTGAGATTTATTTTTGGGTTCAACAAAAATCAATATATCGTATACCATGAGTTAACTTTTGTGATCATACTTTTATCGTAGTTTGTCCACCTATTTAAACGCTCAAATATTTAAAAAAAATAAATAAATTATTCAAATTTTGAATTAATCATAAACAATTTAGAAAATTTATAAATTAGAAAAGTTGCAATTGAAACTTTTCTAAAAATTTTATAGTAGTTGAACTATTCGTTACAGTTAATACTTTAATTTTGGGGTTCAACCCAAATCAAGGTAAAGTTGACTTTTGTGAATTTATCATAATTTTTGGACCTTTTTATAAGATCAAACATCAAATAATATTGCATAAATATAAATTTCTATCTTAGCTTATGTCATTGGCTTGTGGAATCTAGAAATATCTATAGAAATATTGTATGATTACTTATCTAATCACTTCCTAAGGAAATATTTTTTTTTCTTGATAAGATTGATATTCAGAAATTAAGTGAGACAACATCATCTTCGAAGCTAATTGTCAAATAGGCTCGATTTTGACACTCGTATCAGATACTTGAATGACTATTGCGATGAAGAACATATATGATAATATTGAGCTTAGTACTTGCTAATTATACGAATGCTGTCAAATAATGAGAGGTGTTAAACACACTACTTTCTTACACTCAAGTCAAGATTATAATTGTTCCTATAATGATCCTATTACCAAAGCCCCAAAATTATTTTGTATATACAAACGTTGCAGAGTTTAGCCAAATTGTTGAATTCACTTACAGGAGAATCTTCTTGTCTTCTCTTGATAATAACTTATAGAGATCAAAATTTATTTTCCTGACATGAACTTAAATACCAGGTACATATATTATCACCCCAGATCACTAACTTTACAGACATGCAAAGCATGGACACAGGAACTTCTTAGCTATTACAGGATAATTAATATATAATAATATCCTGCACAACACTGGGGTGCAACATTTTTTTGAAATAAGTTCTGCAAGTATTCTTTTTCTTATTACATAAAAATCTTGGAAGACCATTAGTTTCGTTAATCAACTTGTGTGAACTCCAGTGCGTTGCTATCTGGGTCTCGCGTAAAGATCGCGGGTCTTCCTGAGCGACTAAGTGTGTAGCTGATCCCTGAAACCAGAAAGAGAATATGTAAAGATTTTGTCAGTATTGTACAAACAAACGAGTATCAGAGTTCAGTGACCAGAGGTTAAGTCGGTAGAGCGATAGCCTGATATTCTAGTAGCAAAACTATAAAAATACAGTTACTTGATCAGTTTCTGCATATAATTACAGTCAGGACTAATAATATATGAGTCATCATTGAATTGTTTTGAATTCAAGGTGCATTGTCAAGTGTCAAACACCACTGAAACCTTATAATTATTAGTCATGGCAAGGTAAACATCTTGCATGGGACTACAAATTGGGAAAGAACAACAGATTATGCAAAAGCACATATCAGGATTGTCAGGTAAAGATAGTTCGACACAATTTATTATCGGAGTTACTGCTAATTCTGAGAGCGAGACTACATCAGTCGTGATCTATGCAATCTGCTATTTCCGTACAACTTAAATGTGAAATATCCACTGTTAACATGTCCTCAACAACTTATAGTTAGCTACTACATAGAAACACAAACAAAGCATGGTTATAACTGAAATATTCAAATATAGAGCTTCTCAATGAACACCTACCAGCTTTATCAAATATTGATTTAAGCTTGGAAACATCTCGAATTGCAATACAAGCATGACGATCTCGGCCGCCATGCTCAGGGCGTCCTGTCAAGGGATCAGGATTTGGAAGCTCCATCAAATGAATCATCTCGGAACCCACCCAGAGCCAAGCGCCTCTATATGGAAGTTTTTCGTGTGGCCTTGCTTCATTAATCTCAAGACCTGATTTTGTGATTAAAATGTCAGAGAAAACTAATGGAATGAATATGCTTGAGCTACAGAGAATGAAGAATGACATACCAAGAAGGTCCTTATAAAATGCAAGTGACTTTTCAAGGTTTTCACAAAGCAAACCAACATGGTGAATGCTGACAACTCCATAATCTGTATCTGTGCATCATAAAGGAAGTTCCTTCAGAGAGAAAATTTAGAGTAGGAGACGCATGTAATTCGTAGGATATGGACGTCATGTCCAGGAGATGATATCTAACATCTGAACTTTGAAGTTTCATTAATCAAGAAAATAAGAAAAAACATTGTAACATAAAAAAGAACAACACGATTGTGAACTAATCATAAGGGTAGAGGATTTAAAGTAACATTTCCAATATTTCCCTCATAGACTTTGATTTTGTTTAGTGGCGAGTTGTATAGCAGCTTACACTGCATACCTGTGCACCTATAAGAACCTCTGATCATGTAGATGTGATATATGATATTGGATGGTCAAACACAGTGTTGTGTTGTGATATAACTCTGTTGCACGTAAACGTACGACTTGTACCTAGTTAATGAGAAAGAACTCAGCTGGAATTGGGGTCTGACAAACTGAGGTTTAGCATAATGTTTTGACACAGTTGTTTACCATACCATGTCCGACATACATAATCTAGAGTATTAGCGAAAACACAATAACCTTACATATAAATCTAGGATCAACAACAATTTGTTCCGGCAATCCTTGATGATTCTATTGTAAGCCTTCGTCTTAGTCCCACAAAAGGAGCTTAAGACTTTTTAATGTTGCTAGTCTTCCAAATCCAGATGCTGATATTGTCATCCCAATCATGCAAGAGTATCCAGCTAGACAAACCTCCTTAGCTAGATAATTCATTATCCTTCTTCCAGCCATCTTACTTCTCCATCAACATTATTGCTGAAACTTCAGTTACCTGAGCCTAATTGTCTGTCTATTCACCTCAAATCTCAAGTAATTTTAGACCTCTGTTAAGGCATCCTCAGATCATCAAAGGACCCTCTCCAATTTCTCAAACAAGACAACTTGCCCTCCTCTAGATGATATACGCAGATCCTAATATCGATTTTTGGTCAATTTTTCGGACAACATATGTAGATAAAAGGCTCTTTGTGAACGCATGCCATGAGGAAATAATCAGATCTGTAGAACTCTACAATGAACCTACCATCAGCATCCTTGGCTACTTCATTGGCGACAAGATCCTTCTCCGCCGATACCATGGCTTTACCCACCGAACGGAATCGATGATTCTTATCTTCTAGGGCAATCGAGCGGTGGCGACAGGCTAATATCAGAGTGGGGGCTTTGGAGACGAGGATTTTATGCCTCAACTGTCGAGAGAAGACGAGAAAGATATCATCTTTGCTTGGTTAAATCATTCAAGAAGACGAAGTGGATCGTCGATCGACGCTTACCGGAGCCGAAGGAGGAGAGAAGGGGGACGAGAGGCACCGGATCGCCATTGTTGCGCTCAAGACCGCTCCTTGATTTCCCACCAAGATATATATGTGGAAACGGAACCACGGAACACAGAAACATATACTGAAGCACACGATTCCCTCACACCAGGGAAGCGTCCTTCACCTCCGGTGTGGTCCACTATTTACCGTGAAACGGTTTCCCAATCCTCTCCGGCTTTAATTGGCTGTCGCAAGGTTGTAATGGTCGATTATGAGGAATTAAGGTAATTAATATTAATTTCTTTCTAAAAAATAAGTAATTATCCAAAACTAATTTGATTTCTCATATATCACATAAATTTTCCTTTTTATGTCACAAATAATAACATACGTTTCATAAATTGCCCAAAAAGTTATTATTTCATAGTGCTAATTATTATCTTCTTTATTTCCCATTATTATACATATGCTTAACTCAATATTTAATTCATATAAATTCCTACAAAATGATCTTTTAAGTTTCTGTAGTTGAAACAAATGTCAGAATTACAGCTATTTTTGTAAGATCTGACCATTTCTGTAGCCCATTCCAATTTTGTGGAACTATTTAGCTTGTTATGACCTCCATTGATCTCTATCTTCCTTGTTCTTGCTAATCATTTATTGTAAAACTTCTTTGATGTTAAAACTATGAAAATAATCTCATAATTGATTAAAAAGAAACTCATATATAGCCAATCAAATTATTGAACCAACCAAACCTTGTCATCCATGGAAACAAGGCCACCTTGGTTTGACTAGAAATTTATCCAGTGTTGCAAAAGAGATTTAGCATTAAGAACTGAAAGAAATGCATGCACAGGTACTTAGATGCAAGAGAAACCCTAGCCTAGGAATGGGCATGAACCAGTCCAGGATCAGGAAACAATCCAAAATCTACTTTTAGCAAGCTAGTTTACAAGTGGTTGTTTCTTGAGGTTAAAGACAACAATCCAAGTCACTTGAGCATTGCTTCACCATGTTCACAATGTAACATCACAGACCCAAGATTCAGCACCAGGAAGAAACTATCAGATATGACAGGCAATTTGTATCTTCTCTATCCTTGATTGCAGTGAAAAGCTTTACAGGAAGTGAACAAACTGGAGAAAGATTTCTCAAGATGTACAGACCAGGGGAAAAAGGAAAAGTCATGCTATGGTGAAATAACCTCTATGGGCAGCAGCAATTGCACACCACAGATGTATGGCCTCTCATCTCGCAAATGATCTTAGCTTGCGATTTCTTTGCCTGCAAAAGATACAGAAGAAAGTAACTAAAAGTGGCATCAAATACCCAGAACTGGCTAGTCAATATACTCTTCCTAGCCGAAACAAATCCTTCTTTTCGTCAGCTAATAACTCCTCGAATGAGATATCAGGGAGTTCTGCAGACTCATCTGGTTCAGCCTTCTGCTCCATGCTTGGGCTAACCTCAAAGCATCTACAGAAGCATGTCAGATGGACTTTAGAATCGCATGATCATTATGGTAGAACGTGACTGAAGAAGGATGTGTCCGTATATTTACATAAGCAGGTGAGAGGTTGAGTTGGTCTTGAAGTAGATTATGAACAGTTGCATCTTACTCTCATATCCTGTGTACGGTCCATAGTTTGAAGATCTGCAGGCACACAAAGATCCATCCTACTGGACGTGCAGAAGAAAAATACTAGCTGCTTGTGGTCAACCAAAAATTTCTTGTATAACTGTTGGCAAAGACAATCAAAAGAAGATCTGTCGACTTTGTATAGTAATGCCTTCTTTATTTTAAAACTCCTTTGAACAATCTCAGACCTGCAGAACAGCAGATGCATGATATCTTCTAATGACATAGTAACAATAAATAACAGCAAGCTACTTGGCTACCTGTAAAGTGACGACATACTTGTGCCGCAATTCATTTCTTGCCTCGACCAGACAGTTGATGAACTGACCAACCTACATAAAAGAATCCTAATTATGCTTTTGTCTTCAGTATTATTGCCTTGCACCACACAATACCATAAGCATGGACATAGCAGCAAAAAGTGACAGCAAAAAAAGAAATTATAGTTCCACATTATGAGACGATAAAAAAATATCAATTTGAATGCACGTGTCCTTGTTCATCCAAAAATAACTTTTCGCTACATGTGTTCACAGTTCACACGTTCAGATGTTGTTAGATGTAACAAATCTGGCATCACTGAAAACCTTCTTTACCATTTGATGCACCATACACTCACGATCATCCAACTCGTAGGTCGATGCCCGCGAGTGAAACACCTTCCCATGAATTGTCTGTCCCCAAATATATCCAAATGTTTAATGTTGACGATAAGCAATTCTTAAACCAAGTATTTGGTTCACATTTAGGAAATATCCAATTATCACTTTCCACTAGGTTTCCAATAAGAAAGTGGTATACAATGCATTTATGGTTGAAGATTAAATCTTTCAAGTGCAAATGTTGTATACTCCTTTTTTTTTGTGCATTTCCTCTAATAAAGTGCTAGGACAATGGCAAATTTGGTTACCCAAAAAGCATCGAGAACTAAAGAAAGAAATAAAATCCCCAATTTTAATCTTCTGGCATATTAAATCATCTATATAATTAATTAATTAATCAATTATACAAATTTGAGCCTCAGGTCTCCATTGGCTGGTTCTCTTATTCCCCATCTTCGGTACATGGAACATCATGCAAATGGGCTGATGAGTGCTGATCCCATAACTTTTCTCAATGAATCGATCTTTTAGAATATAAATGATTAAGCTTGTAACACATATTTACTAGTCAATATAATGAAAACACTTACTAGTAAGTGTGAGGACTTTCCATAAACAATGCGAGGTTGAAACCTATGTCATCTTACATATTTTCCTTAATTATTTGTACAGTGACTGTTAAGGGTGAAGAGTTACCCAATCTTACAACTTCCTATGGTTAGGTGTTGTGTTGGGACTTTATAGCTTTGTTGTTGTTGTTGTTGTTGTTGCCGTGGTTGAATGAGCGTTGTGTTGCAACAATTAGTAAAGAAGAAAATTCCTGGATTCCACAGAAAAAAAAGAACTTGAGATTAAGATGTTCTGTGAATGAACCGACAACCGGATGGAATCAATCAACATCAGAGTGGTAGAAAATCTCCAGCAGCATGGCATCAACAACATCTCCAATTTTTTTCTTACACGACAGCAAAATATCATATCCTATAAATTTGTGGCCTTTATTCTCTTCTCCTCCAATTGTAACATGGATTGACGACCTCAAGCAAACTAATTCATGCTCTTCACTAAAATTTCTATGAGAAACACGAAAGAGAAAGGTAAAAGTTCGAGGGGGGAAGCAAGAAAACCTGAGCTATCGTCAATGTCTTAGCTTTGTTCGGCTTGACTATCTCATCATGCTGCAGCTTGATCTTCCTCTGCGTCGAGCTCGCGGACTAGTAGAACAGGTAAATGCACCCCGTTTTTCCCGCCTCCCGCCTCTCCCATTCCATCCGCCGTCGTCGCTGCGACGTCCCTCCCCACCCTCCGATTCTCAGCGATACTCCACCATATTCTTCCTCGCCTTATTCCTCCGGCCCTTCTCCTCACTGCCCGCCGGTTGCTCCGCCGCCTCCTTCTATCGGCCTTCGTGGCCATCCCGGGGAGGCAAGGGTGGTCTCCAGGAGGGAAGGCCGCCGCAGCGGAAGTAAAGGTGCTCTTTTTCCTATATATATCTGTATGTGTGTGTGAAATTAACATTTGGAAGAACAAATATGCTATTTCAAAGATATGAAAGGGTACATTTGCAAAAATGACAAAACAAAACCCTCACAAGAAAGGAAGAGGAAAACCGAAAGGCCAAAACAGAGCAACCATGAAACGGCACAAAGGTTTGGGCGGAGGAGAGAGAGAGAGAGAGAAGAGGGATCGGAGACATTACCGGAGAGGGACTCACGTGCTCTTGGGTTTCTTTGGACGCAGGGAACTCGAGGAAGAAGGCGAAGATAGTGGTTCCCCCTCCCTCCTCCGCGCCTGACCCTTCCCCTCATTCTAAGCGGTCTCCGCCGCCACCTCTCCCGCCGCCGCCCGCTAGGTTGTTCCCCAACTACCCTTCGCCTTCCTCAACCTCTTCGACCCCTCTCCCCCCGCCGTCCATGCCGAGGAAGAGCTTTCTTCGCCGCATCCTGCCGCTCGTCTTGGTCGGCTCCGCAGGTCGCCTTTCCGTGCTGTTTTCTTGCTTTCATTGTTGTGAATTCATGTCATTGATCACGATTTACCTTTTTCTTGCCACATTCAATATGCTTTTTCTTGCTGGTTTCCTCATCGGTTTTCGTTTTTTTTATGTCTTTGAATCGAGCAAAATGAATCTTTTTAGGGTTTTATTGCCATATTTTATACTCAAAACAAAGCAGTTAAATTCTAATGAACCGAAATACGGAGGATCCGGCTGAACCCTATCTGCTACTGCAAATTCGATTATACTCAAAACAAAGCAGTTATGCATCAATTCGATTATCCTGATTATGTTTTCTGCCACTGCAAATTTTAGTAACTATGCATCACTAAAATATGTTATGCATTTAGCTGATATATTATTGTAGTTAATTGATTTTTGCACTAGCTCCTTACACCACTTCTATATCATGACTTTTGGCTAGTTAGTGTGTGATCTGGAGTGGTGTTCTTGAATATGGAAAGCTTGACTTTTCAAGATAATGTGTTGAACCCTAGGTTTTGTATAAGGCAAAATACTGAAACAAGAGGAAGGCTTCATCGAGCAAGGCAATTAATCTTCTCTCTTGCTATTTTTATTGTAATTGACAAGTTGAATTACATGCATCATAGCCTAGAAACAGTGGGCATTGGTGTTACCCTGGGGTGTTCTAGAAAAATTAACTATAGACAAGCATCTATAATGAAGCATCAGGATGATAAATTTGAAGTAAATATAACTGTTATTGAATTGATAACCATATGCTAATGATGTTGATCAGTCTAGTGGGACAGAGATCAATGGCATTTGAAAGTGGATGCAGTTAACTTGCCATCTGTTGCCTAGATGTCAAATTTTGACAATATCAATTAACGATAAAGTATATATTCTACAATTTTTGGAGGTATCAAGACTCTTCATTATTTCTCTGTTGGTGTTCTTGCAATAGGTAATGAGCAATAAAATGTTCAATACCCAACGGGAGGACTGGAATGTGACATTTCTGTAGCCAAGTTTCCGTTCGCCTTTTAGAGAATCAGTTTATTTTGTTTCATCTTTTCCATTGGTCTACCTTTTCCAAAAAGTAAAAAAATTCTTCTTTGACTTCAGCTTGTCATACATATGAGTCGCTGTGAATTGAATGGAATTTGCCTTGCAAATCCTCTATTACAGATTTCAATCGAATTGTTTCTATTGTTTCCATTTGTCAGAAATATTATTATTAATTATTATTATTTTTCATTCAGTAGCCATTTAATTATTCAGTTTATTTCTTTATACTATTATCTATAATATTTATATGAGATGATGATACAAGTCTAAAATGATTCCTATGATAGCTTAAACAAAATTGATTTTGTGGAGGTATGAACATCTCTCAGTATCTTCACCAGAGGTGCTGCCTTGAAACAATTATGTATGTGAGTCAAACAAGAATGAACATATGGTTGTGATTTTCTTGAGCTTAATAATATTTATGCGATCTCGAACGAGCCTGACCTGAATATGATCTTAAGTTCAAGCTGCTTGTGAACACCAAACTATCCAAAGTAGGGTGGGACGAAAGGAGGGAGGGTTTAGAAGGAGGTGGTTAAAGAAAAATGATGGGGGAAGAGAGGAAGGTGTTAAAAGTTTTTAGAGGGTAAAAGAAAGAGAGAATATATGGTACAATAGGAAGGGATTTAGTGTTTCTAACCTAATTATATAGCCTACAACTTAATCCCAACACTTGTTATCAAAGATCAAATATACATATGTATCACAGTATCCTTTTTTTCCTAAACCAAAATCTTACATAGTTAAACCTGATTACAGAACAAACCTGAGTTAGCTAAGCTTTTATGAATATAGTGCGTTTCTGATTGTATGTTAAGTAATTTGAGCATTTTTTAGCATGCCAATCTCTTGCATTAATAAGATTTCCAAATCTCTCTGCTCATGTTGATGTGTGATACTAATAAGTAATTCTACAAAATGCAGCTTTTGCATATATGGCGACATCAAAGAAGATTGTAACAGAGAAAGATGGAAAAACTGGCCTAGAGTTTTCTTCTCTTCCACCTCAGAGTACAGAAACTACCAGTTCCTGATTGATCAGCCTATGGAGACTTTCCCTACATGCTTTTTAGTTGAAACCACTTGGTTTTCATTTGGATTGGAATTAAATATTGACTAATTAGACAAAAGGTTAATTTCGTTTAGATTTTCTGAGTCTTTTAAGAGTCAAAATTCTATGTTTGAGATTTGTGTGTATATATGTTTGAGTCTTTTAAGAGTCAAAATTCTATCATTTGGGCGCTTATCACCTTGTTCCATCGAGACAGGAAACACGGTTTTTTCCTCGCACATGCCCACGCGGCTGTCTCGCGTTATGTCAGTGGGAGGCCTCGTGACATCAGCTACACGCAGTCAAAATCGTGTTCCCTGCCTCGGCCGAGACAAGCGAGCTGACTCGATGACTTACTATTTCGGTCACATTATGAGCAGCCATGTCGGCGTCGTCTTCTGGTTAAATGTGAAGTACTTTCTCCCACCATCACGAGAGAGAGAGAGGTAGGCATGGTGTGCAGTGTCACGTAGCTCCCTGCCATATGACTCTTGGATTTGGGAATGCCCACTCGAAAGCTACATTTTGTTGGACGCACCCCCATCAATCATTGAGCCTCCCCTCCCCTCATTACCTCAGGCACTGTGACAGCGTTACCAAGATCGAATGGCGCTCCTCCTGCGTATCCTCTCTTCTCCTCTCATACAATTTGACTGCAGCTTCGCAGGTATGGCCTAATGCTTCAGAGATGACAACGTAGTTTGTGTCTCAGCTGCAGAGCTTTGATCCAACAGGAAGAGTGAGATCTGACCACCGCAGAAAGGTAAATCCGCAGAGCTTTTATCCAACAGGAAGAGTGAGTTCTGACCACCGCAGAAAGGTAAATCCAACAACAATGACTGATGAGCCAAGTCGAGGCAGGAGGCTGCTCCTGGCTCGCTGCTTGTCCCCGCATTCGATCAAATAGTGACAGATGGCAGGCAAGTCACAGGTATACTTCTATCTATCTTATGTGGGATTTAGTTGATGCCGTTTGTGGCAAGTTGGAGTGTTAGATACTCTTGGGGATGTGCTCTTCGGTTCCTTCTCTTTACCCCCCGCCACACTCTCATGAAGTGGAAGTGTCACGTGAATGCCTTTCTGCTCCTCGCTGGTCATCGTTTTTTGTTTGTTTACCATATAAACGGGGATTTGACCCTCTTCCTCACGCTGATTGATCCGTCCTTGCTCTATGATAGCTCATTGTTGGTTGGTCTATGGTCCCTCTACGCACTGTGGAACAAATTTGTTTCCCTGTGCTCCTTTGTCCTCTCGTCTCCTTTCAAGTTATCGACACTCTCTTCCGGGAAGGACTACAACGCCCCTACTCCTATCCTCTCTCACCTTCCTATCTCTCCATGTCTCCGTTCAGTTTGAACCAGTCACCTACTGTCCCCGTAGAGGAGGGGGAGAGAGATCCTGGTCAAGCTTCTTCCTTCTCATGTCCCAGCTTCTTCGGTAGCCGCCATGATCCGAGAGCATATCTTTGCATGGACCGTCAAGAGGTGAGGCATTCTTGCACCAGGGACATAGATCGCGGCCTCTTCTCATGCAATTTAGCATCTTATCTTTTCTCTGTAGCCCAAGGAGCGGTTCCTGCCTCATCCAGTCGACAGCAAGGACGATGGTACTCTCAAACTCTCTCTCTGCGATCCCTACGTTACCGAAGAAGGTGTAGTGGCGGATAGGGCTGGTCAATGGATGTCCTCCAAGATGCGATTTATGAGGAAGATGATGAATTCGAGTCACATCGTTGTGAGCAAACAACCGAGAGGAAGCATGCGAATTACACCTGACGACCAAAGCCGATCGCACCGATTAGGGTATAGCGGGAGCAACCGAAGCAACAATTCCCCGAGTGGTATCATCAGAGTCTGCAGCGATTGCAACACGACCAAGACTCCTCTGTGGAGGAGCGGTCCTCGTGGCCCCAAGGTAATTAAGTACCACTCGATCCATCGACACTGTTCTACGTATCCATCTATCTTCTTCACATATGCGTATGTCTTCGACCCTTTACATTGCGTTGCATGCATGGTGCAGTCCCTCTGTAATGCGTGTGGAATACGACAGAGCAAGGCGAGGCGGGCGATGGCGGCAGCAGCCCCAAACGGTGGACTAATAATCCCCGCAACATCTCCGGCTAAAGCGCCAAGACAGGAGAAGATAGACATCGATCGAACTCTCCCCTTCAAGAAACGGTGCAAGATTGATACTGCCAGTAGTAGTAGTAGTAGCAGCAGCAGCAGTACTACCACTACTACTACTGCTAGTAGTAGTAGGAAGCATTGCTTTGGCAATGTTACATCGAGCTCAAACAAGAGTTCGGCAATCCAAAGGGTCTTCCCGCAGGAAGAGAGGGACGCAGCGATATTGTTGATGGGTTTATCTTGTGGCCTAATTCGGAGTTGAGTGTCTGTTCTTTTCTTGTATTTGAGGTGTCATCTAATAATAAATAAACCAGATTTGTGCTACTGTGTTAGCTGAGTGAGGAAGAGTGAAATGAAGTTATGGAAGAAATAAGATTATTTTTTTGGGAATTCTAATGGATTGTTCTTCTTAAACATTTCCATTTCTTTTCTTTTTCTTGAGAAAATGCATATGCTAAACCATCATGACATGAAACATCACATACAGTGATGTGAAATTAAGGCAGCACTCCATTATATAATTATGTCAAGATCATTATACTAACTAAACCTATAATTACTGATAGATGACAATTGAATGTAGACAGACAATGCAATGTGGTGGCATCCCTTAATTTGCAGTCAAATTGTCCACCTTGTAAAAGTGTTTGAAATGGCATGTTTTACCACAGATAAAAACATTCAAACACCAGTAGAATCTTTCTAGTGGCCTAAACGCCGTTGTATCGAACTATGTTTGGGGTAATCCTGTTGTGCTAGATTCTGAAACTTACAAGATTCATACATGTTCCAATAGATTCTGAAACTTACAAGATTCATACATGTTCCAACAATCCAAAGTTCAAAATGACCAAAGTAAGAACAAGACAATTAGTAGAGATTAAAACTTATTGTAGCTTTTCTTGCTAGAAGAAATAAAAAAAAAAGAGTTGCACATTATATTATGAACTATATGTTATTTCTCACTCTATTTTAATAATTTAATAACATCAATAGATGCTACCTATCTATGCTCCGATATGATGTTCCATTCTCTCATGGAGCATATTGTTATCAACTTCTACTTCGTTGAAGATCAAATTGTTAGACTTCATCAGTTATTACAAAATGTGTTCCACTCTCGTTATTCTAAGATTAATATTCATGACAAAAGTTCAATCGGTATATTTACCAATTATATCTTCATCGTATCAATCGATATATTTCATGAGCATGATTGAAGAAATTGGACGTCATTCTACTGAAACAAAACATTACTCTCTCAAGAACATCTTGTCATTTGCATGAAACTAATGATAAAGCATATTCAAATTACCATAGCAAACAATTAAATTTCTTGAAGGGAGAGCAGAAGAAATGTGATATCTACTCTTTTCAGATCGAAGAGTCCACAATAGCATCAACCATGTCTCCATATAATGATGCTTCCTGGGTCTGCTTGTGTCGGCCCACAAGGGCCTTCTCCCTGTGGCCATGCATGTAGCTTCTTCCTTCACAGGAAGTGGAGGAGAACATGACTGACTGCTGATTTGACAGATTGCTCTGTGGTTTGTACCACGACCATTGAACTTGCTTGTCAGCAGACGGTATTGGGTCAACACCTACTGCAGGAAGGTCAAATATGGTTGAGAGCCGTGGCATTTAAACCTCCTAGACCAGCGTTGCATGAGATGAAGAAGAAGAAGAAGAAGAAGAAGAAGAAAAAGAAGAAGAAGAAGAAGAAAACCCCATGTTTTGGGCCTTTGGCCAATTGGGTTTTGTTCTGGCATGACAGGGGAGCAGAGAGAGTCGGCAGTCAAACTGTGACTCGAGGAGGCCAGAGGACATGAACCCACAGCCCCGAGCAGGCACAGGGTACTGCCGTCTCTGCTTCCTTTACTTCTCCCCTCGGCCAGTGAGATCTCGGCACTGTGCTGCTATGCTATGTTCACAAGAGATGGCAGGGATGGTACGATGAGGTACTCCGTATTGAAATCTTAGAACCATGAAACCGATGTGCCATAAAGGAGGACACTTGCGATATGGACAATGGACTTGGGGAGTAACAGTGGAGGCAATTAGGGTAGTCAAATCACAAGCTTACTTACATACATCATCAGCTTTTACTCCCACAGCCGGCACCCCTGTCGGTGCACAGAACCTTGGACCTGGTCAACCCCGCAAGATCCATCCAATCTTGGTAGAACACCATTTAGTGCTCCCACACAGTGGCAGCAACAGCTTTTTTGCTTGCTTAATGCTGACTATGGGACTTGTGGTTGCTTTCGTAGGGCACAGATTTGTAATGAACTACTTGTCCACTTTATCTCTCCGTCTGATTCCTGTCCTCCTCTTAGCTCCAGTCCACTTTGCGTGTGTGCAGAGAGATGATCCATCTATATCCCCAGCTCTGCAGCTGTGGGACTCGTTTTCCATTCTTAAATCATGTCGAGGAGATACCGGAAGCCCACCGATAGAGTTCATCCGCCATTAACTATCAGCAAATCTGATGCAGTAGGAGCTGGTGAAATCATTCACTCTGGAATTAATACTGATGCCTGGTTGGGTGGACGGCAATCTAGTCGGGAATCTCTGCTCGCCCCCGCTGCTGAGCCAATCAGCTCGCGGGATTGCTCGCCCAAAAAGATCTGAAAGGAGAGCATCTTTCTTTCGGTGTCAGACATGGAGTAAGCGGAGGAGGGGTGGGTGTGGGGTGAGTGATGGATGCGGAAGAGGGGGGGGGGGCGGCGGTGAGAGCTGATATGGTCACATCATGCGTTGATCTCCCAACTACCCTGTACAGCCACCTCCCCTGTTCCCCTGTACCGCCTGTGACAGCGATGGGTTACACGGGCGGGCGGAACAGATCAGCGAGCGTGGCAGCATCAATTGCACGATCAGTAGACCGCAACCATGACAGGGAAACAAGGCGTGGAAGAGGACGAGATGTGCAAAACGTAAAAATGTTCCGTTTGTTGTGACTCCTCTGTGAGCTCACGCCCCACCCCTCACTCACGCAGCATTCAGCAGGCCGTGACAAGACAACCTTCGCCTTTGAATCAGACTTGTTCTTCTCTCTTCTCTCCTGCTGCTGCCCTCTGTTACCAAGCAAGCATCTTCTTCGTCCTCTGGGGATGAGGATGAAAAGGCGTGCCGGCAGACAATGCCAATCCACGGGGCGGAGTTGAATTGGACCGGACATGTCTGTCAAGCATCACAAGCCTTAAGCCTCAAGTTAAGGAGGTGGTAACAGTCGGATGTATTCACTACGGGCATGCATGTGCAGAAGCAAGAAGAGGATTTGCCAAAGCGAGAAAGTGGCCGGAGACCTCAACCTGACCCAATTTGTTTTGCGCAATCGGTGGGGGCAGTGAGCCTGTGCAGAGAGAAAAAGTTGCTTTTTGGGTAGGGTAGGGTAGGGTAGGGTAAATCCCTCTCCCCCCCCCCCCCCTCCGAGAAGAAGATCAACCCTTCCCTTGTGGCATCATAATGACTCGCATTACTCCATTACCGGGCAGCAGTCGAAGCACAGCAACAAGCGGGGAGAAAGCAAAAAGGGTGGCGTTCTATACTGGGCACCACAGGTGGGGTGGCGTGGGAGGTGGGGCTATCTCATTCTATGTTGATTGTGTGGTCATCCCGTCCGTGTCGGACTAAGAAATCATAGTTATCGAAACCGAGAGGGAAAGAGGGAGTAAAGGGTTTGGGGAGGATGATGGAGGGAGGTGGGTGGAGAGAGGATTTCTATTGAATGGAGTTGGCATGTGTGCACGAGGCGTGCAGCAGCGCTTGCAATCTCAAGGACTTGCGGCACGATACAATCATAGACGTGGGGGCTATGCATTAGAGTGGGGACTGCCAAAGCCCATTCAAATGGGCCTTGTACTTTAGCTTCTCGAACGCCAAACTCTTTCTCCGCCTCTTCCTCCTCCTCCTCCTCCTCCTCATCATCATCATACCCATTCATCGCTCTCCTTCTCTCCTCTCCGAACTCCTCCTCTTTTGGTCGCCACCTACGTTATGTAACGTACTAAGCGGTTCACAGGACCATCAGCAGGATCGGATCCTCGGAAGATGGACACGTCGCTGGTGCTGTGGGCGGCGTCGGTTACACTCTTGGCGACGGTGATCATCGCCCGGACATGGGGGATGAAGAGAAGCGGCCAAAGAGGTCATCGACTCCCTGCAGGATCCCGGGGTTGGCCTCTCGTCGGCGAGACCCTCCAGTTCGTGTCCTGCGCCTACTCGCCTCGGCCGGAGAGGTTCATGGACAAGCGGACGCTCATGTACGTGATACGCACATGCCACCTTAATTATTGGCCCTGCTTGCACGATTGGCCTCCTCCACGCTGCCGCCACACGGTGGCCGCTACGCCGCATCGGTCGCTCCGTCTTGTGATTTTATGTGGAGCGGCTTAATTTGGTCATCGTCGCAGGTCCGCTTAGATTCACGGCTTTGTCTGTGTACAGGTACGGGAAGGTGTTCAGGTCGCATCTGTTCGGCAGCTCGACGATCGTGTCGACCGACGCAGAGGTCAGTCGGTGTATCCTGCAAAGCGATGCGAGGACCTTCGTGCCGTGGTATCCGAAATCCCTCACGGAATTGATGGGGAAATCCTCCATTCTGCTCATCAATGGCAACCTCCAGAGACGAGTTCACGGCCTCATCGGCGCCTTCTTCAAGTCCTCCGACCTCAAGGCTCAGATCACCAGAGACATGCAGAGCTACGTGCAGGAGTCCATGATCAATTGGCAGGATGATCAGCTCATCCGCATCCAAGACGAGACCAAGAAGGTGTGTGTGTTCTCTTCAACCTCTCCTCAGTCCCCCTCCCCTTCATTATTTCCACGCACACGTGCACGCCCGTAGCGCCACATGCGAGGCCTAAGAATGGCCACAGTAGGTGAATTCAATGAGCCGGAGTTGGGCCTGTATATCATTTATTGTTCCTTGTGGATCAGATAATCTTCCAAATACTAGTCAAAGGGTTGATTGGATTGGAGCCGGGAAAGGAGATGCAGTTGTTGAAGCAACAATTCAAAGAATTTATTGCCGGGTTGATGTCTTTGCCGGTGAAGCTGCCCGGGAGTAGACTCTACAGATCACTACAGGCAAGTCTACCGCCTATTCGTTCAGTCATTCATCGATTCGTTCCATGGCACAGCGCGGCCAATAAATGAGCGTTGCGTTGAGGCAGGCAAAGAAGAAGATGGTGATGCTAATAAAGAGCATCATCGAGGAGAAGAGGAAGAACAAGTTGGGATGCGCGCCGCGGGATGTGGTGGATGTGCTGATCAACGACGCCAGCGGCCAATTGACGGACAATCTAATATCGGACAACATGATCGATCTGATGATACCGGCCGAGGATTCCGTGCCTGTTCTTGTTACACTAGCAGTCAAGTACCTCAGCGAATGTCCTCTTGCTCTCCAACATCTGGAGGTACCCATCGAGAAACCATGCTCATTAAGCTTCAGTTCACCACCACCACCACCAACGTCGTTAGCAATCCTGATAGCGTATGGGTCGTGGGGTTAAGAGTATGTCATCGAACTATATCTGCTGTGAATGGATAACAGGAGGAGAATACGCGGCTGGAGAAGAGGAGATCGATGCTGGGTGGGGAACTGCAATGGGCCGACTACATGTCGTTGAGCTTCACGCAACACGTAAGTTGGATTCGGCAGATGGATAGAAGAAGGTGTGGAAGTAGGGAGAGGGTGACTGATGTATGGTAGGATGGAACAGGTGATAACGGAGACGCTACGTATGGGGAACATAATTAGCGGGATCATGAGGAAGGCGGTGAAGGATGTGGAGATCAGGGGGCACTTGATACCCAAAGGCTGGTGCGTGTTCACGTACTTCCGATCGGTACACCTGGACGAGAAGCACTACGAGGAGGCGTACAAGTTCAATCCATGGAGGTGGAAGGTGAGTGTGCGTGTGTGCGTGCGTTGCTGGTGATGGATCCATCGCCCACCTGCCTCTCCTTCGCACAACAGGGTGAAGAGGGAGGGAGGGAGGGGGGGGGGGAGGGGAGGGGGGGAGTCGGGTGTTAGTCAACCTCATGCCCAATTGCTTTTATTGCTGCTAGATCTCCTATCATCCTTTTGCTTATCTTTATCTGAGCGCCTTCTTCTTCTTCTTCTTCTTTTTCTTCTTCTTCTTCTTCTCCCCGTGGGCGCCCCACAGGACAAGGACATGAGTTCTTGTGGCTTTACTCCTTTTGGAGGTGGGCAAAGGCTGTGCCCTGGGCTGGATCTGGCCAGGCTGGAGGCTTCCATCTTTCTTCACCACTTGGTCACCAACTTCACGTAAGCATAGCCATCAACCCCTCTTCTTCAGATTCCTCTTACTCGGTTTCTTCTTGTTCTTTCTTCTTTGCTGCTACTTTTGTTGCGTTTTGTTGTACTACGACTGCACATCTCTCGCTGCATATCATTCTCGCTTGCATGCATCATCATCATCGGCAAACATTATGCTCGGTCACACGTGTGTGTGTCTGCGGGCTAAAATATGGAATGAGTTACATTGATGTTTTCCGCTGCTGTGGTTTTTATCTACGCATCGAGTATTTCTGGTTTCTGGGATTTCCGCCAAGGATGTGAGCCATGTATACAACATGTCGGCACACACCGGTGCTAATGCATCCACCGCAGCGGCACACACGTGTGCTGGAGTCACTGTCTGCATTGCATCATCACGCATGATAGATGAGTCTGATCCGCCTCTTGTGTGTGTGTCTGTGTGTGTGAGAGACCACAGGTGGGTGGCAGAGGAGGACCACATCGTGAACTTTCCTACTGTAAGAATGAAGGGGGGAATGCCCATCCGGGTAAGGAGGAGGAGCTGATGCTATGCAACAAAATGGTAACCGGGGAGGGCCTCAGTCTTCTTCACAGGTATGAACTCCGGAGGAGGAGGAGCAGAGGAGGAGAGAAATAATGACGGAGGGAGGGAGGTGGGACGAGCAAAGGGCTGTTGGCTTTATGGCCTCATGGGGTAAAAAGGGGGTGGGGGGAGGGTGGGAGTAGGGTAGGATGGACCACCACCAGTGGCCTGTCAATTTAGGGTGGGACGCCACACAGACTGAAAGCTCCCATAGGGTGTAGATAAATACATACTTTTTGAGCATAGAATAAATGATTGTGTACAGAGGATGATGAACGGAGGCCATGTCACACGGTCGTAGGATCACAGCCCCAACAAAAGAAATGAAAGAGGTGAAAGGAGTCTGCGGCGGAGAAGAGATGCGAGGGGTTTGACCGGGGGAAAGCTGCTTTTGGGAAGACGGAGGGGAAGGGGGAGAGTATGCAGGGCCTAGAGAAGGGCTACCAAAGCTAGTATAGTTTCATTGCGAATTCCAACCCTCGGCTGTGCTGCTCCTGCTGCTGTTGCTGACAAAAGTGGAGGTGGAGAGGACACTAAAGTGGGGTTGCTTTCATGCGGTGGGGATCGTGGCAAGCCCATGCACTCTCTTCCATCTTGCTCTTGCGTAACTTCACAAGCAGAGGTCCAAAAGGCTCCGAGCAGCATCTCCTCAGACCACCACAGCTGCCTTCCTACCATCTCTTCATGGCGTTGGTGATCCACCAGGTTTGTAGCCGATCCTGTTGCAAATGTGACAAGGGTGGGTGCCATGGTGCAAAAACACTGTTGAGGGGGTGAGTGCGAGGTGTAATAGAGCACAAGGAGGCTCATTTATGACAGACAACCATCCAAGGCATGGATGAGAATTGCCTTGCAACTTCACCGAGGGTCTCTCCGCCGCCTTGGGAGTCTCAGTGGCTTGTGAGATGTAAGACTGAGATCAACGATTGCCATATGCACCACACAAATGAAACGTTCGGGTTGTGTTAGTAAACCTCCACTGGTTTCCATTTCCATTACCATTTCATATTATGATTCCTCAACATGTTTTTCATTACCATTCTCATCTCTAGCAGATGTGTAGTAGGCATTTCCTTGTTGTTTTCACAACACATAACAAGAATATTCAGCACCCACAAAATATATCACCACTACTTAGCACAACTTAATGCCAGTTCTTTTTATTCATCGGACCTTATAGAATGACCATATAATTGTATTTTTGCGCACATTAATAACTATGCAAGCCATGACATGGCTAATCATGAAAAATAATAATATAGAGATGACTCTTCATTAGAGAAATATCAATGTCATTGAGGACGAGAATCTCTTCAAAGATATGGAGGTGGTAATTTTTTTTTGGGGTCTTAAATATCTATCTGTCTATTCAAATACAGGATATTACATATTTGCCCTTCCATATATATATATATATATAATATAAAATTATATTGCATATTTTAAAATCATGCGGAGCCCACATTGGTATGGAGCATCACATAACCGAAAGCAGCAACTAGAAAGGTCACCTCCGATTTGGGAATAATCCGTCACCCTGCGAAATGGACATTAAACAATGAACAAGTCAGAACAGTGGAATACATACCTCCAAGGCAATCAAAAGGAGGTCTCGTTCCTTTGTGCCAAATGTGTTACTCGTAGTGGACTAGAGTCGGACTCGAGTTCGGTGGGGTTGCGCCCCCCTGCATGCGTAACGTTCCGTCCATGTCAGTGAAGGATTGCCATGTCCTTTGAGATCTTAGCGGTGGTCCGACCCACCAACACACGTCCTTCATCATTGACCCGTGCGCTCCGCTCCGGCTGCGTTTCTTCAAGAGTACCCTTCCCTTGTTCACCACTTTTAGCTACGAGAAGGACCCCGAACTCCCTGAACCGAAGACGAGGGGTGAACATGGCCTCCACCGCAGCCATGGTTTGCTCACATAGCATGGGCACGATGGCCGTCGGATGCCCCCTCGATGTGTATCTGCTCAGATGCACCTGCAAAAGGAGGTTCCTCCTCATGGAGAAGAGGATGGCGCCCATAGTCCTGTAATGGACCCCCCACCATGGCCTGCAAGTTGCGATGGGGGCACCGAAGATTTACCAGGCCTTGCGTAATCCTTCTTCGGCCTCTGCGGCTTTACAAAGATAAAACACTCTCTCATGAGACCATATTTGACCGCAGAGCCTCATGCGAGAGGTGCGCCATCACGTCAACCATATGCTTCAGGGGGCAGCAGTACCTTGGGAGTGTGTGTGACATGATCGAATCTGGAACGAGGCATCATCAACCTGAAACCACCGTAAGAAACATCAAATGGAGCGAGAAAAAGAATTGGGCGTTTAATGAGAGAACTCAGGTAACTCTACTTTTCGATCACCTTTACCTTTAGAAACGACCAACCGACAATGGTCAAAAGCCTGTTCGGAGATATCAACTGCATTATTACCTGCTCCTCAAAAGTTAAACTCAGCAACAACAATGATGCATGGTGTAGAGACCTAAACATGGACAGGAAAACGAGATCAGGGGCCCAGAAACATCATAATGCTATCTATGCCTCTATCAGAGAGTTAAAAGGTGGTAACAAGTATAACTTGGGTGTCTCTTCGCAACAAATTAACCAAAATGCTGTGTCTCAGCCAATCTCAATGATTGGATTCTACAGAGTAGGTGATTCGTCATTTTCAGAAGATGCAACTTCAGTGACAATAACCTTTTGGCATCATAATGCATCACTAGATCCCTATCATTTCTTTATTATCATATCTACATGAAAATGACTGGCAAACAACCACAACGGTTCCTGCTGGGAGTGATAAACTCAAGTATCACCAACTTAAAAAAAAAAAAAAAAAAAACACACTTTCTTAACCAGTGCTAAAACCACTCTTCCTGGAGAACAGGCCAAGATCCAGTAAGAGCAAAAGAAAGTGAGAAACTTCACAAGTTCCTTCTGTCCGCTAGAGGACTAGTCAGATCGAAGAACACTCAGATATGTACAAGTTCTCAGTACAATATCTATTTAAAAAAATTAACACTATTTGCATTTAAAAACCTCAAATTTAGATTCCGAGTAACCAGTAAGCACGAAAGATATTTGGCGATAGCTTACTTTGGACCTCAAGCCTTTAGAGGAGAATAAGAGTAGTCGACACTAATACTCTGCATAACAATCTGGTCCTCTAGCTGTTCCAACCCATCTTCAATCTTGTGTGAAGGGCGAAGTGGGCTGTCAATTGCCTTCAGGACATCGGAATATACCATTAGTGGAAGATGAAATTAAATACAAATGACACTCGATGACAGTATATGACGAGTATATCGAAAGACAAATAATTTTTGTCGCCTTGTCACTGGTGCCAAAGTTCTAATATTTTGCAATTAGTGGTCTCTAACTGAAAATTAAAACAAAACCTTCATATGCTATAATTAAGGCTAGTTGTTGTCTCTTAGAAATTTGGTGATCTAGTTTATGTGATTCCAACACATTGAAATGGGGGAAAAAAATCTGAACACAGCCCTAATTGTTCGAATACCACATACACAGATCTTAGAAACATGAAGCAAGATCCCCATGCCCAAGATGCATTGGTAACATCACAACCCAATCCGAAGTACGGCAAATGACGAACTAAGCTCCTTGACCACCCTGACCTCAAGGTGATATGTGTCAGTTAGCAAAATGCAGCTCATTTGTAAGTTGTCGTCAAACCTAAATATAGATATAGAATAGTACAGTTTCAGATTTTAATTTATGATGACTGCCTAAGTAATGATGGACCTAAATATGGTTAATTTAATATTCATGTAATTCACAATCCAATTAGACCTGCAATGGATGTGGGCTAGGTTTTGGTCAATATATACCCACCCAAAGAAGTAGCTTCTGAATACCTCTTTTTGAAGGTTTGGCCCATATGGCTATGGAACCTGAATTGTGACAATTCGAACTATCACACTTTGCCACAAAAGAAACTTGGTGTCATATATAAAGGAACATCTTGCCAGTTCAACCATCTTGGACCAACTGGCGCTCCAGTAAAGTGTCTGATGATCTAACAGTCTGGGTGAATATATCAAAAACAAGTGAACCATACAATTCAACTGCATATTTAATTCCTATGAGGTCATAATTATGACTTAAGACTAATGAAATGTGCTTTAGAGATTAAATTTCTGTCAATAAAGACAATTCCATAAACTGATCGGTTGTACCAAGTAATATAATAACATTAGTCAACTAGAAAACAAAAAATAATATTTTAGTGTTATAAGTTAGATAAATTCATAACAATGAACAACAGAAAAAGAAAGCCAAAGGTAACATGCATACAAGATAATCTGCATCTCAAAGAATAAATAAATTGAGAAAGTAATATCTAAAACAGGATTTATTTGCAACTTTCGGTATATCTAGTCCAAAATCGGATATGGGAGGATACTTGAGTTGATTTATAGGGCATAAGATTTCCAAGCTTAAGTACACCAGTCCTCCTGGTCCAAGCTTCAGCCTCGAGCAGCATGCAAAAGACTTTAACACCATAACCCAACCGTAAGAAATAAGAATGGCAAACCCCACTCATACCTCGAGCTTAAAAGAGGTGTAAAGAAACCATCTTTTGCCAGATTGACCACCTTAAGAGGGGATCAGCTCCCAAGTGTCTGGTTCCTGTACAATCTAGTTGAGTATCCAATGCATCCCATCCCAGCACCAAAATGGGAACCAACATGATGGCAATCATTTCATTCTTATACTTCTAGGTATGCAAAAAATTCCTGCTTGATGGTTAATAAGGGGAATGCTGATTGATCCATAATGGTGGTCGAAGTTTTGCCCTCAGCTAGCCAATTTTCAATTGTCATGGAGTGGAAAGGTTAGATTGCAATAGGTTACATTCGAACCAAATTTCTTATAGAATAAAGATGTGCTTAATAGTCTTCAGTTAAGTTAAATTGAGATCCAGATTGGTTTAAGCATGCGAATGGACCAGCCAAGTAATGTCCATCGAGTTAAATTGCTTAATGTAGCCGAACTGGACTGGTCTCGATTCCTGATTCAATGCATACACTAGTCATAATCCTTCTTTCAACCTTAAATTTGTGCCACTGTGGATTTAAAACTTAGTGAGCATACACTTAGAAGCATGCAACCAAGCCAAAATATTACTAAACTCTTCCCCGTGTAATCTGTCTTGATCATATCTGCAAACTTTTTGGCTTCTAATGCTTGTTACTATAGTTCTAACTTATGATTGATTAAACCCCACTATCTAAAATAGGGAATGGATTTAACTGATCCCAATATCTTCAAAATATCAGGAAAATGATTAAAATTAGCAAAAAGTTTTGTTAGGATTGGGTGCATCTGGTTGATCATGGACCTTCTTTTGTACTATCCTACACACAATTTTAACCTAACATGACAAATTTTAACAAATCCAACAGCCCCTGATGTGGTTCCACATCATGAAAACTTTGGCTAATCATATCCAACCATCAGATCTCGTTAAATTCAGCTATATCTTAAGATTCTTAACCTAAATGTCTATCATTGCTACAAGATTGGCATATACCAAATTTGATTCAACAATTCGAAGTGGAACTGACTTTTTGGGGATCACCTGGAAATTAAATGGATGAGGCCGATCTTTATCTGTCCTGACAGGTTGACAGACGCATATATATGCAAGAAAATTAGCCATGATAATCTGCACTCGTGCCTGCTCGCCCCCTCCATCTGATTCAGGAGACGTAGGGTTCATTGTCTTGAACAATGAAGTACACTTCATAATTCATGCTGCCTTACTTGCTTATACAGCTTGTTTGTGACACAAAAAGAATCATTATTGATGCATGATTAGTGGTCGAGTGACAAGATCAATTATGGTCAAATATAAGCACGTGCAAGGGAGTTTTTGTCTTAGATACTTGTACAGAAGAGAGAAAGAGAAATCAAGAGGGTGGGTTCAAACCAAACCTGGAAAACTAAGACCACCAGCACTCTCTGGCGGGATCGCAGCCGTCGCCGGCAACAGAAATATTGCGGATACAGGCCTCGATCTCAGCCTCCGTCATGGCCGCCGCGGGAACTGCCCGAAGGCCTTGAGGCCATCAAATTCAGCAACATCACGGGCTTCCCGCTTGCATAAGGACTTAAATCTCCAGCGCTACTTCGATTTACTCTTCGCTTCCTGTATTTAGTTAGGGTAAGGGCAGGGTTCCGGGCGGCGGGTTACCCTCGCCCATGGCGGTACGAGACGGTACGGCGGCGCAGCCCTCGTAGCGGCTCATGTTTGGATTGATTCCCTGGTTCGCCGATTGTCTCTGTATTCCTTTCTCGCTCGCTCCTCCCGGCTCGATGGGGCGAATGGAGAAGGAAGCGAAGATGAAATCTTTTGGTACCGCCGAGGTTCGAATAGGCAGAAAAGAGACGAGGAAAGAGAGAAGCCGAATCAAAACTTCGCGGCGGTCGAAAGTAAGGCTTAATAACGGGTCGGGTCGGATTGAAATGCCCATTATTGATTGGCCCGAATCCTAACCAACGACAGGAAGGACAATACAGAAGTATCGGTCGAGTCTATGAGTAAATATATGACTATTTTAATTTCTTTGTTTTTATGTATTTTTTTCTGTTAGTATAAACGACATCAATTTCTTATTTCTGTGGAATTTAAATTGTCTTCATACGTGTATTTATATATCGCTACTATCTTTGACTCAAGAATGTACCCTCTGGTAATAACCTCCAAAAGGTGTGGGCCCGAAACTCTGTTATCAGACACGAGGCTGCGTGCGTGTTCGTTTTAGAAAATTGATTAGTATATTTCACTCTTTTATTAATTATTTTATTTATTTTGGTTTCTTCATTGCCTCGCCCGTGTATATATATAAATATATCTGTCTCAATACGAGATACCAGTGTGGTCTTTTTCGCTCGCTCCGTCGATGGCGAACCACGGCGAGATCGCGCCGCTTCTTCTTCTCCTCCTCTCATCTCTTCTCGTGTTGCCCCAGGCAGACGCGTTCTACCTCCCCGGCGTGGCACCTCGCGATTTCCAGAAGGTAATTTCCATCATGATTCGATCCGAATCGTGGCCGATCTGGTTGGAACTTGAGTCCATTTTCTGATGGTACCGAGATCTAGGTTTTTCGTTTCTTGTTATTCTTCTTTCCGTTGGATCTGGGCTCGAAATGCGTAGATCTCAGGTTGATTGCTTCTTTTCCCCTTGGTTTCGAGGATTGGATCTCTTTTTGGATTCTTGAAGATTGAGATTTTCTTTTCTTTCTCAAAAGAAAATGTAAGAATTAGGTTTTGGTTGGTGGTCGCTCCTAACGTTTTTGTTCGCTCCGCATTTTGCGTGATGGAATTTATTTCGTTAACCATCTTGTAAGAATGGTATGCAGCATCTTGTTCTAATTACTTGCCAATTCTTGAAAGTTGTGCGTCACAAAAATCTTTCAGAAGTGTTGTTTATCAAACGCATTAATGTCATCACATTGAAGGCACAAGATCCAAGACAATTTTCTACTATTGTTTCAATAGCAAGATCTACATACGTGAAAGAAAAAAAAAAGATCCACATAAGTGATATGAAGCACATCCACATTGTGATTCTGTTGTGCATGGATATCGGAATGTCTAGCGATCTTTAACTTTAGCCACTGAAAGACAAAATACCAATTGTTTGACACCTATTTGATTAATCAAACACCTATATATGCGTCATGGGCTCTTATATGTGACTTTGTAAGGGATGTGGTCCGCTTAGAAAATGCCTACAAAATACACAACCATTTTGTAAACATATACATGAGAAATAGATTTATTAACAAATGCGAGTCAATAGTGAAGGTGTGGTCCATTGAGGTGTTAGGCAACCCTTGATGCATAATTCCAAGTTACTGGTTGTAGATTCATCTATCTCCATAAACTGACACAATCCTTTGAATTCTAATGTGGGACCAAGGGGCATAACAATCTCTCCCAAATGGGGCTTGATGTAATTGTCAAGGCCCAAAGCCAACACATGCCATATAAATCGTTCCTAATATGCAGTTTGTGAGACTCAGCAGTGGTGGATTCATGTTATGATGTGCTTCCAAACTCATTCATATGTAGCCCTTTTCTTTTATTAGGCACCCTACCGTACCTAATGCAAATGTATCCTAGTCCAAACATGTCCAACCAAGTGATGGTTCCACATCGTTTTGTGCTTTCAACCCCATTTATGGGTAGTTATTTCCTTCTTAGGCATCCATCATAGGCCCCTCACAATGATTAGTGTTGGGTTTACTCTGAAACTAATTGTCACTATCTGATCCAGTGAAAACTGATTTAATAAGTCCATCATAGGCCCCACGTGGTCCAAAATGCTATAGCCTAAGGAAGTAGTACTATATTTATGTAGCTCTATGAATCAACTCAATCAATTTCCATGTTCAATGTAGGACTAAACTGGGCCTCACACCTTCCATCTACAACCATGAGTGAAATGTTTATATCAAAGTATTAACCCAATGTATATAGGTCAAAAAAACAGGATGTAGATAAATAGAGGTAGCAGCAAGTTAGGTAAAAACATACTTGTATAGCAACCTGCTGAACTGAACAAGCATTAGGTGGTTGGTTTCCTTTTGGACAATGAGAACCACAACACTATCATTATAGTTATTGTGCTGGTGGCACTATTGTTTTCTGTTTTCTTAAAATCATTTAATATCATTTTAAAATAGTGTTATTCATATTGACTTCAACCTGTATTTTTGTTTTCATGAAGGAAAGAAGGATACGCAATAATACTTTGATGTTGGCATGAATTTAACTAATGTTTGCATACATGTCCTTTATCTTTAGAATTGATTGTGTGAATGTTATATGAGTTCAAATTTTTTGATCTCTCCAAGGTACACATGTTGATACTTAAGTGTCAGTGCCCTAAATAGCTTGCCTATCAAGACTTTATGTATCCCTGGCTCCCTCTTTATACTGCATGTGTAAATTATATTTTGAGATTTTTTTACTTTTATGCTTGAAGAGATCATTGCTTTGTACTATTTGTTAGTTTTAGCTTATTTGCTTCAGTTCTTGGATATCTTTTTATATTTGGTCTCTATGAAATGCTTGTTTTATGACTTGCTATTTGATATCAGACTTGCTTATGTTGATTGGTGATTCTCCTTTCTTGTCACAGGATGATGAGCTTCAAGTCAAAGTGAACAAGCTTTCATCTACAAAGACACAACTTCCATATGATTACTATTTTTTGGATTACTGTAAGCCTCTGAAGATCATGAATAGTGCTGAGAATCTAGGAGAGGTTCTTCGTGGAGACCGTATTGAGAATTCTATTTACACAGTGAGTACTTTCAATTTCTTTCTCATGACAAAACTAATACTTCACCAACTGGTTTTTCTGTAACTCAGGTGCTTTTTTCTTAAATAAAAAAGAAAATTCTTACCAATTATTTTATTGGATAACATCCTTTTGACATTTGAATTGCGTTATTTCAAATCAGTTTCAAATGAGAAGGGATGAAGGTTGCAAAGTAGCTTGTCGCACAAAACTTACCCCTGAAGCTGCAAAGAATTTTAAGGAGAAGATAGATGATGAATATCGAGTGAATATGTAAGTTTTTTGTGTTACCTCTCAAGAAAAGAATGGCATTTAGTTTTTTTTGCTTAGAAGCTTATATCCCTAGTATCTATAATCTTAAATCCTAATGGCATGGTAACTTGGCTTTCATAGGATCTTGGATAATCTTCCTGTAGCAGTTCCTCGACAAAGAAGAGATGGAAATCAAGTAGCAACTTATGAACATGGATTCCGTGTTGGTTACAAGGTGAGTTAGTTTGCCTGCCATTATGAGCTGCAAATATTGGCAACCTTTTGTATAAGATAGCTAATATTTGATTTCTTTGTTCAGATCAATGATGATAAGTATTACATAAATAATCATCTCAGTTTCAAAGTCATGTATCATAAAGATCTAGATTCCGAAGATTCTCGAATTGTTGGTTTTGAGGTGACTCCAAGCAGGTAATGAAGCTTGTTGGTTTATGATTTCAATCATTTTTTCCTTCTGTCATATTATTGTTTAATCTTATGCTGAGTTTATTCGTTTATCTACTAAATATAGTCCTGCTGAGTAATATAATCTGGAAATTTTGGTCAATATGATCAATCTACTTAGCCTTCAGTTTGAGTGTCAGTATGATCAATCTACTTCTCCTTGTGGTAAACTACATAATTGGTTTTGAAATTTTCAAACTAATAAAGGGCTCCAATAAACAGTTTTAATAAGGTATAGATTCTTCTTAATTCTTTAGACAAGCCCATGAGAAAAGGAATTCCACTGAATTTTTTAAAAATGAAAAGAAGGAAGCATACGGAACGAAGTTTTGGCAGCTTACGAAATTGAACTCTAAAAATGTGGATCTAGAATCTCATTCTGTTTGTTATCTCTACATATCAGCTTGTTACAAGTAATATGCCACGATTACCTTAATTATGTAATACGCTTCCGACAGATTTACATTATATAAACAGCTTCCCAACATTGGGATAGAGGTTTTGTGAACTGCAACAGTGGGATTCACATTCGCAGAGCTGCCATCTTTTCTTGTCCTTCTGAGTATGTCTGGTTGTACTTTTCATTCTAATAATATGAGTGCACAGTGTGAAGCATGAATTTAGTGAGTGTGTCATGGGAAGGTTGCTCCTTGTAACTTAAGTGACCAGAGTTGAAGTCAAGCAATCAGCCTCTTTGCTTGTATAGGTAAGGCTATTACATTTGACCCTCTTAGACCATGCATTTGTGAGAGCTTGGTGAACTAAAGTTGTCCCATTTGATGAGATGTATAACATTTTCTTTCTCAATTTCTTTTGCAAACAGTGTGAAGCATGAATTTAGTGAGTGGGATGACAAGAATCCTAAAGTGCTTACCTGTTACCCAAGCACTAAAATAACTCCAACTAGCAATGCTCCACAGGAAGTAGTTGCTGAAAAATATGTTGTCTTCTCATATGATGTTACATTCCAGGTGTGTATACAAGATACACCTTCTGTTACTAATGGTTTCCATTGCATGTCTCATGTTCATTTCATCTCTTACAGCCCAGTGAAATTAAATGGGCATCTCGTTGGGACACATATCTTCTGATGAATGATGACCAAATCCACTGGTTTTCTATCATAAATTCATTGATGATAGTTCTCTTTCTATCTGGTATGGTGGCGATGATCATGATGAGAACCCTTTACAGAGATATATCCAATTATAATCAGCTGGAGACCCAGGATGAAGCCCAGGAAGAAACAGGATGGAAATTAGTCCATGGTGATGTTTTTAGATCACCCACTAATTATGGTTTGCTTTGTGTGTATGTGGGAACTGGTGTTCAGTTCTTTGGGATGACCTTGGTCACAATGATATTTGCATTGCTGGGCTTCCTCTCTCCTTCCAACCGCGGGGGTCTTATGACTGCAATGGTTCTTTTGTGGGTGTTCATGGGCCTATTTGCTGGATATTCATCTTCCCACCTCTATAAAATGTTCAAAGGCACAGAGTGGAAAAAGATCACCTTGCAAACTGCATTCATGTTTCCTGGTGTGGTTTTTGCTATTTTCTTTGTGCTCAATGCTATTATCTGGGGGGAGAAATCATCTGGTGCTGTTCCATTTGGTACCATGTTTGCGTTGGTTTTCCTATGGTTTGGCATATCTGTACCATTGGTGTTTGTTGGGAGCTATATCGGATTCAAGAAGCCTGCAATGGAGGATCCAGTAAAGACCAATAAGATCCCTAGGCAAATACCGGAGCAGGCTTGGTACATGCAGCCTGGATTTTCTATACTAATTGGTGGAATACTTCCATTTGGTGCTGTCTTCATTGAGCTCTTCTTCATTCTGACATCCATATGGCTGAATCAGTTTTACTACATCTTTGGCTTCCTCTTCATAGTGTTCATCATCCTCATCGTGACTTGTGCTGAGATCACAATGGTGCTTTGCTACTTCCAGCTTTGCAGTGAGGATTATTATTGGTGGTGGAGGGCATATTTGACCGCAGGTTCTTCTGCAATCTACCTCTTTGCATATGCGGTATTCTACTTCTTCACCAAGTTGGAGATAACCAAATTGGTTTCTGGCATCCTTTACTTTGGATACATGTTGATCGCATCATATTCATTCTTTGTGTTGACTGGGACAATTGGCTTTTATGCCTGTCTGTGGTTCGTTCGCAAGATATACTCATCTGTTAAAATAGACTGATGGGATTCTGGGAAAAAGGTCTTTTAATAAGGTTCCATCAGCATATGGAAGGTTAGAATAGATGCTGAGATTTTAGTTCGAGGGAGTTGAGTGACACTGTATGTGGGAAGTCAAGCGCTAGGGCTGCAGACAACTTCCTTGGACAGTTTCAGGGTAAGAATACTTGGTGATTAGTAGTATGCCCTTTGAGGGACTGAATTTGTTTCTTTCGTTTGATTCATTTATATTGGTAGTACTACTGTTCAATTTCCATGTCGCAGTGTTCTTTTAGATCGGAAATAATGAAAGATATACAAAACTCTGTTGGAAAATGCAACTCCATTTTGATGCATGCTCATCGGGTGATCTTCGATATCAGGGTTGGTGATTCTACGAGGCGGATGCTATTGGGGGCGGGACCGAATCAGCCCTGAAATCATGCAGGGGTGATCTGGCCTCTCACCAATCATCTCCCTAGAGGATTGTAGCAGTCGGTATCATCTCCCTAGAGGAAGATAAAAGTTCAAAGGCCGACTAAAGTTACGGATTCAACTCGATCCTAAAGGCTGAAACATCTCCCCGGAAACTATTAGAGGTTACGTGGCGCCGATCCCTCATCTGACCCGGACTCGGTCATTGCATTTCCATCGTACCTTGGCTCAACCTGTGTCAACCCGATCCGATCCTTTGGCTATCGGATCCAGATCGAGTGACTATCGGCCCCGTCCTCTATTCTCTCTCAGCTGCCTGGCTCTAATGCTCACCGATCGATGCCCACCTATTTCTTGCTCGTCTTTGCTTCTTCGGATATCATTCAATCTTAGTCTTCATCAACCATGTGGACTTTCATACGCCATCATCTCTCCTCACATCCTCATCTTCCTTACTTGGAATCTGAGGCCATCAACGCCCTTCCAAATTGCAAGTATCCACCACCACAGAATGATCAACGTCTCGTCACTGAAGGTTTTCTCCAAGACTCGAACCGCAGCCACAGAGTCTTGGAGAAGTATCCTTCCCATCCAATGCCAACTAATAATAATGCATCACCATTTGTCCTATGCACAAGTATCTTCCCTTTCTTAAACTGAACCATCGACATTCCTAATCAAACACATTGGTAGGAGGGAGGAATCGATTGCCAGTACTCCTCCATGTTTCAGCTTTCTTTCATCATCATCGTCTCAGTAGCTGCACCAGTCCTTCTTTCAGGTTCTCATGCATTACCACTACCAATCCCCTACCACATTCAACAAGTACTTCCCTGAACTCAGAATGGCAACAAAAGACACACCCTTTGTTGTAGAACCCCCACAAGATCTCCTCGCGACACCCTTCTCAACTTCACTCTGGATCTCCAAGATCCTCCATGCCAATCTCTCCGGGAAGTCTGGTTCTCCTTCAGAATTGAAGTGCTTCGATGTCGAGAACATTACCTGTTTAGCTAGAATCCCTCCAACCCTGAGATTTAATCATATCCTGAGACCAGAAAGCATAGCAGCCACCATCGAGGAAGGAAATGAGGAGGAGGAAAAGTATGGGAGTCGCAAGTCTGACAACAGTGGCCTGGCTTCAGAGGAAGGGAAGGGTAAAGGGAAGGGTCATTGGAATGACATGCATAAGTTTCTACTGGCCGGCACAGTGTCCACAGTCATATCCAGGTCTATTTCCTCCCATGTTGTATGTTTTCATCAGGTCATGAATTAAGTTTCTACCGGCCGGCGCTGAACTATATGAAGATGCAATTCTGTTGACTTCACATAGCCGCATGCACTGGCCATGCATCATTAATCTGGCGCTGGACTTGGATTTAACAGGGCAAAAGATGTTTAACTCCTCGCGTTAAACATGTGCAATGCTTTCTTGAGATGGATCGAGATCTCTTTAATCATCCAAAGCCAAATATAACGAGTTTAGGCTTACTCTTCTGTTTTTTAGTGAACTGGTAGAACATGAAACTATTTGATCAAATAGCAAATTTGAGCTTCTGGTATCTGATGATGTATACATTGATGTGAAAACAGGACGTGCGTTGCGCCATTGGAGAGAATAAAGCTGGAATGCATCGTCCAGGGATCAAAGCGTCCATTGGTGAAGATAGTCCAGTGTATCTGGACTGCAGAAGGATTGAGGGGATTCTGGAAGGGCAATGCACTCAACCTCCTCCGCATGGTACCTTTCAAATCCATCAATTTCATTTGCTACGACATGTATTTGGATTGGCTCCTCAACTCCCCGGGGAAGAAGGAGATCACAAATCACGATAGACTCGTTGGGGGTGGCATCTCCGGCCTCCTGGCCACCGTGATCTGCATTCCTCTCGACACCGTAAGTTTCTTTTGCCGTAACAACATTATCTCTTCAAGTATCGTTGTTCGATTCGGCCAGACCCAACTGCTCTGCCACTTCATTTCTTCTGCATTAATTTTGAGATGATTAGGCATTGATAGATAAGGACGAGGCTGCTTGCGCCGGGCGGCGACGCTCTCGGGGGAGTGGCAGGCTGCGTCTCTCACATGGTGCAGAATGAAGGCTTCCTCTCGCTCTACAAGGGCCTGGCTGCCGCCCTCATCAGCATGGGTCCGGCGAGCGCAGTCTTCTACACGGTCTACGACATCCTCAAGAGCTCTCACCTCTCCGAGACGAAGAAGAAGAGGACTGAACTAGGTCCTGCGTGGACCTTAGCATACGGTGCAATTGCAGGGGCATGCTCTGAGACCGTGACGTATCCTCTGGAAGTCATCCGGAGGCAACTCCAGCTCCAGCAATCCACCAACCTGGGCCTGGCTTCCGCCTTCATCGATCTGGTGAAGAGAGGAGGAGCTGAGTCTCTCTTTGCAGGACTAGTTCCGAGCACACTTCAGGTTGTGATGCTTCTCTACCTCTCTAATCAGTACACTATTTCATAGCATCCGACAACAACCAGTCGTAATAGTTTCCACTAACTATTACTTGCAGGTGTTGCCTTCTGCAGCTTTGAGCTATTTCTTCTACGAGATGATGAAATCTATATTGAAGATCTAGAAAAAGATGCAGAGCGTGGCCAAATCGTGAGACCTTTGTTCCTTTTCTTGCATGCACCACAATGAAACCTATCTTAAATTTTTCTGCTTCCTCATGGTTGATTCGTTATTGCTTATACATGTAAGTCATTGCACGAGCTAATTACTGCAACAAATTCCAGCTCTATCTAGTAAACTATTTGGCTCCACTGTTACAATGATATCGATGTTCCAGAAGTAGTAGATTCATGATCATTGGCTGAATTCAAATGCAGTGTTGCCTGTGAATCCTGAGCTTCTCAGAAACTGTGCCGACTCGAACAAGTTTGCTGACATGTACTGAAGGATGAACTAAGAATTCAGGCATGCTTTCTATCAATTATCTCTGGTAAAAATCAAAAACCACAAACAGGAACAGCTTCTTTTGCAGTCAAGCAATAAGAGAAAGACAAACATACACCATAACCGGAAATCAAGTTGGATTTCCAATCTTTAAAGCATTTGGTTTGCGGTAATGACAAACATACCGTTACTGTCGTATACTCACTTGACAGCTGAAAGCCCATTTATATTAATTAATCTTCCTTGATAAGTCAAAAGTCAGAGCACAGAAGATGAATGAAGGTGGCACAGTAAGGTCAATGGAGGAACACAACACAACTTACGTGTTTTAGACTGATTTCATGCCGGCATCAGATGGAAGGCTCGATCCTGCAGTTTGAGGTGGGCAAGTCTTCGGAACTCCTTCCCAGCCACCTTGTCGCACGCCGGAACTCAAAGCAGAAGCGACCCTTTCAAACATGAGGCCTGCAGGCGTCACAAGTCCGTCCTCACAGAAAGCCAACAACAATCTCTTTGATTGCATGCGAGGAAGTGGTGTCAGCATCTCGGATTTGATCTGGAAAAGGAAAAATGCTAAATGGGAATAATGTTGACACAGAATCTAATTATGTTTATCTTTTTCTAAGTCACATGACCAGAAATTAATCATCCGTTTAGGTATCGGAACACCTCATGTCAGTCACCCTTCTGTATCTGCGCTGACCATCCCAGCTTTTCCCTGATCTTTGTTTGCATTGCCAAGATAGCTTTTTTGGCCTTCTATTTGTGTGTCAGAACTCCTCATTTCAATCAGCCTGCTGTACCTGCACTGAGCGCTCCTGATTCCAGTGTTTAGCAAGGGATGATGAGCCAAGCATTAAAGCATGATGAATTAGTGTCCCATTGCGAGAAGGTTTTCGGGCTTTCCCAGAAAAAGAGGCTTCCACTCTCCTTATTAACCATAAAGAACAGGTGAGAAGGAAGAACTCAAAAGCCTCGGGCAGATTACCCAAAGCCAACTGTATCGTAATCGCACTTCGTTTCCCGACCAAAAGTACATGGATCCAAAGTGCAAGATTTTGTTGGATTATTGTATTGATCTCTCTCTCTCTCTCTCTCTCTCTCTCTCTCTCTACCGATCCCTCCCTCTCTCTTTTGAATTTCAAATGACATGCAGAAGGCTACACCCCCCAACGTACCCCACACAGTGTCCTCTCATCTTATTCCGCACACTTCCGCCGCTCTCTCTCTCGCTCTGGAGGCATCAATATCTCTGCTGCAAGGTTTCTCTGGGGAGGAAATCTGCCAAGAAATGGGTGGTTCAGGGAAGTGGATCAAGTCCTTGATTGCAGGCATCAAGAAGCAAGAGCAGGATGGCTGTGTAATCACTGCATTTTCTGTCGTTTGATTTCTTCTTTCATGATTGAGTCTCGAGCTGCTAAATTTGGTTCTACTCTCGCTTCTGTTGTTTGTCTTCTCCTTGCCTTCTTGAAGGAAAGGAGCGGTGGTGGCGATAATGGAAGGAGCAGGAAGTGGACGAAGCTGTGGAGGAGCTCCTCATGGGACCACCTGTCGCTGCGGCGGGGGTCGAGGGGCAGTAGCCACCGATCGGCAGCGTCCGACGCCTCGTCTGTCGCCGACGCGTTCACCGCCGCCGCGGCGACCGTCGTCCGCGCCCCGCCGAGGAACTTCAGGGTGGTCAGGCAGGAGTGGGCGGCCATCCGCATCCAGACCGCCTTCCGCGCCTTCCTGGTAACGCAAGAAGACTTGCATACATTCGAGTAGTCGTGTGCGCTGTCTGCAAGAAAAATGAGAACTTTTTGTTGATCTGACACCCAAGGCGAGGCGAGCGCTGCGGGCGTTGAGGGGGATCGTGAGGCTGCAGGCCATAGTGAGGGGGCGGCAAGTGCGGAAGCAGGCGGCAGTGACGCTGAGGTGCATGCAGGCCCTGGTGCGCGTGCAGGCGCGCGTCCGGGCGCGGCGGGTGCGCATGTCCACCGAGGGCCAGGCCGTGCAGAGGATGCTCGAAGCCCATCGGGGCCAACTGGATCCTCTGAAGGAAGCGGAGGTAGTCTCGTATTCTCATCCTCGAAATCACAGGCTTTTAGTCCTTGCATGCCTCTAATTCGTCATCATCTATCTCGGTTGAAGTCTTCAGAAAAGTAGCTATTGTCATTCCTGAAGTCATTGCAGCGATGATTATGACCTTTTCTGCTACTTTTTTTTTCTGTAATCTATTTTCATTCAGATCTTAACAATGTAATGCATCATTGTCTTTTGTGCATCATCTTGTGGTTTTCAGGAAGGATGGTGCGACAGTCCGGGCACATTGGAAGAAGTAAGAGCGAAGTTGCAGATGAGGCAGGAGGGAGCTGTTAAGAGGGAAAGAGCTATTGCTTATGCCCTTTGTCAAAAGGTAAATGTGGAGATTTATTGCCTTGCCTTCTAGTTTTCGTGATGATTAATATTTGATTCAGCCCATATTTCCTGCTCTGTCTTCTGACAGCAATCTTTGTCAACCGTGAGTGGGAGGTCAAAGCAAACCACAGCCTCTCTCAAGCATCATGGCCTTGATAAGGGTAATGGGAAGTGGTGCTGGTTGGAGAGGTGGATGGCTGCCAAACCCTGGGAAAACAGGTTGATGGAGTGTACAGGCCAGAAGGATCTTCCTGAAGCAGAATCCAAAGAAGACAATTGTGGCATCCGCACAACATGCGGTGAACCTGGTTCAGTGAAAATAAACAAGAACAACATGACCATGAGGGTTTCAGCGAGACCTCCAACCATTACTCACAACCATGGCTGCAGAACTCGTCCTTCCTCATCTCCAAGCACTGAATTATACTACAACGAGAGTTCTGCATCGTCGTCATCGTTCTGCATGTCGACGCCGATCTCAACCAGCACTCTTTTGGGCTCAGAGAGAACAGAGGACAGCAACAGAAGTAGGCCCAGCTACATGAGCTTGACTGAATCAATCAAGGCAAAACAGAGAGCTTTCAATGTGCCGAGAATGATGATGCATGGACATCCATCTGCGGATGCTCGCTCTCATCGGAGGACTTTGTCTAGTATTGACATCAAGAGCACTGACCGCTTGAATCATTCAGCTTTTTCTTGCAATCTGGAGAATCCACTGCCACAAAGGGTTAAGATTTCTATGAGAAGCATGGAAAAAGAAGATGGTTACTATGGCAAAGAACATACTTTTGTATCTTATGGTTCTTGAAGTTTGGCTTCATTACCTCGGTATGTATGACTTCTTTGCATGTGTCGTGCTCGTTCAACATCTTGTTGTAATGTGTGATTATAACTTCTGAGACAACTAAAAGTTCTCACTGCCAAGAGATTGAGATTGTTTTTACACTGCTTGTTCTGCAACTTGCAATTGGTACTTTTCTAATTAAAACTCTTGCAATTCTATGCAACATTTCTAAGAGTTCCAGAAACTAAACATATCCTCTCAATATGAACTAGAATGAAATTGATGGAACAGCTTAGTTTGCTGATTAGTATATTTCACTCAGACATTTACATTTTCTGGAGACCTTTTCTAAAGCAAAGATCTAATAGATTTAATGTCTTGTCTCATTTATTCTGCCAGTTTGAGAAACATAAATTGACTCCAGATGTTGATGTGCATAGACAGAGCAGTTGTCTCAAGGTGTTTCTGATTAGAATAAAATTAATATTACTCTTTTTTATTGACAAGGTTTTTATCATACTTTGCGATATCAAGAAATTATAATATTCAATTTTCATTGCAAATATTATATAAATATTCAATTTCCATTTATGATAACTGTCTTGCAGACTTGAGTTCCATGAAATTCTAAGCTTCAGCCCCCACTTTGTTCACATTTTCAGAATAAAGTTTGAACAATATCCATTTGTTTCACTGGCACTTTAAGCTTGGTGTGATGAACTGGAATGGCATGTATCTTGGAACAGGTTAAGTGACTTCTATGTGGAGCCAAGGCAAAACTATGAGGAGTTTTTTTTTTTTTGTTGTAGATGTTTCATTTACTTCAATTACTCTGCAAATGTTAGGAACTGCATCAAGTTGTTGGTTTGATTAAGTCAATGCACAACTAGGATGCATTGTCATCTTCCTTTGACCAGTGAAGTCCCATACTAATTTTAATATGTAACAGGCAGAGTTTCCAACCAATCAAGATCTCAAGGAGTCTGTGATTTTTCAGAGAACATTCTTGGCAAATTGCTAGGGCCATTATTATGTTAGTGACCACTTCAAATTTCTTTTGGCATGTTGATGCAGGGTTTCTTGAGTTACTATGAATCAGTATTGGTGTTTAGGTGATGTAAGGATGCAAGTGAAAGTTTTACCTGCTCTGTATCAGTACCTACTCATCAGTTGCTTCATATCTATTTCTGCTTTTGTAGTAGGCATAATTATGTTAATTATGTCTGTAGGGTGTGAGGTTAACTGGAGGCAAATTGCAAATTATCTTATGCTTCTATCTGAAAAAAAACATGAATTTTAGGCATATGATGTATATTTATATTTTTATATGGAAATATTTCCAAACTTTATAGATTTTCTGGAAACAAATTATTTTCTTCTGCTCTATAAACATTCACAAATAAGAACTGAAATATCATGACCATCAGACAACACCTTTCAATTTTTTTGTTTTCTTCTGCAGTGAATATTAGACTCCCTCTTCTTTTACAACTAAACATGGAGTTGTTGACATCAAATTTCCTTTTACAAACAAAAATATATAAGAGAAAAAAAAAATCTCTCTTGTAGCTTTAGAAACACAATCCCTAAATTTCTAAGCTCAAACAGAGATGAGATCTAGGAAGGACATTGATATGTTGCACAAGACAGCTTTTACCAGTTGGGAGTCTCCAGGAACCTTGGCATGAAGTTGTTCAAGCACTTTCCTTTGCCTCCACTCCAAGATCCAACCATGTAGTTTACATGTTGACTAAACCTTTCATATGAGACAGTGGCTTTTAGTGAGTATATGGTAAACAGATCAGAAAATATTCTATCTGAAGCAGTTGAATGACTGAAAGACCAGAGTCAGGTAACACCTCTTTTTGTACATTTCCTGAAGCAAACAGCTTTGGGGTAAAAGCTTGTGGGCAGGAAGTCATGGCTACTATATTTTTGCTGTAGACTTGACTTGGAAGTTTCTCAAGACCCTTAAGAGAAGGGAAGACTGGAAGAAAGCCTTGAGGTCACGGGATCATCATACACTCACCTACTGAAGTATTCAATTCATCAGGGTTGTGCACAACATAGCATTTTCCATTCTGGACAAGAAGTGGAACAACTCCACAGGACTGGTAGGCTAAAGACATTGATTCTGTGTTCTCTATTCTTTAGATTAGTCCAAATGAAGTGGCCAAATCAAGGCAAGCAACATTGCACCTAATCTAACCAGGTTTAATCTCAAATGAAGCACTAACAGGTTCATATGTCCTTTGGTCAGAATCAACAGCGGAACAGATGCACATTCTAACAATGTTCACAGTAATCACAGTGTCTTCAACAACGACACAGCAATAGAGTTTGGACTGCAAGTGTAATTGATACATGACATGCAGAAAAGAAACAACAATGATTCAGGTGCAGCATGTCTTTGCGATGATGTAAAGCAAGGATTCAGAGAAACTAATCCTGGGATGCCATCGATATGGAGTAGGCTTCAAAGTCAAGCAAGTTTGCATAACAAAAGGCGACAAGGTAGGCATGCGAGAACATTTTGCTCTTATATGGTCCAAAAAGTTTACCAAACGATGCATTGTTGTGCCAGGAAATAAGATGTGATGCAACTCCATGATATTATAGGTTACCAACCACATGGTTGGTTGTGGCATGATGAAACTGGAGATAGCAAATGGGTCATGTGTCGTATCACACGAATGCCATGCACAAGAAAACCATATAGCTGATTTTAGAACAGTTCTTTGCGATCAAATTTCAAAGTTACGAAAAATGAACGGAAGGTGTTACAGAGAATGCTTAAAGGAGATGAAATTTGAGTGCCGTAGAACTTACCTGAAATGCAGTACCGTTCACTTTGAAGACATCACGAAGATCATTTTGGAATTCATCCATGTTGAAGTTCCACTGTTCTGCTACAAACTGATCAGTTGCACAACATTGCTGACATTTCATCTCCTGTTTCAGGCGAAAACAGTGGGATTGATGCATATGGCTTAAGATGCATCAGCTACTAAGTTTTTCTACTCAAGAAACATAACATAGGTGATCAGCCTTGTGATCCATGGCAAATGAGTGCATTAAGAGATTATTGCCAACAAACCAGCATGCATCTAATTTTTTATTTAAAGATCATAAATTTGATACAATCAGCCACAACAAATCGACAAATTCTTGGCAAAGTTGGAAACTGGAAGCAAGCTGTAAATAGTAGAAAATAAAGTACATAATCGGTGAGTTCTTGAAACAAAATTACATCAATCTTCATGTCTTTGGACAAAAAGGAATGGTTAGTGATTCCACAAAAGAAAGAAACTTTCACCCTGAAATGTACTAAGACTCAAGGCAAAACCATAAACTGAAAAAATTCAATGTGGATGTTCATATCACAGAGATGAAAAAATAGATTGTTATCAATCCAAAGAACAAAGAACTGCAAAAGAGTTGCAGTTTGAAGAAGATCAACAAAGAGATCATATTGGAAAAGCAACCAACAACTCCATGGTAAGCCACTGAATATATAAATCCAATCATACATTGACAATTATAATGTTAGATATTGAAATCAAGATGTATCAAGGAAGTGCCTCCCATGTTTAGAATGAATCCTCAAATTTTCTGTAGTTTATGAATCATAACCATTCACATTCTTCAGAAGATTCAGAGTAATTATGCACAGTCTACAACAAACCTTCCATAGGATGAAGGTGCACAAGACTAACCTTACCAAGATTTCTGATCCATCAACTTGCCTTAAGATTGAACAGAACAAACAAAGAGAAATGGAGCATAGAAACCAAAATAAGGCTGACTTGAAGTTTGCCAAAATCCATCTCTCCATCATCACAGTGTCAAAACTATGTATCTATCTGTGCCTATAACCATATAACTATATATCTTAGAAACAGTTCTACAAGACTACATTAAAAGAAGGCTATAGGAAAGAAGAAAAATGTGATCTTTGTGGGTTTTGTGCTCCAAGTCTTCTTCTTTCACTGCATGCTGGAACCTGGATTGTAAATGGCAAGATCAGTCCATCCCGCATCCCAGCATCCTGAATCGCCCTCCAGCCTTTCGAAGTTCTGGATCACCGGCGTTGTCATGATCTCATTGCCACTGTCGCCGGTGGAGCTCTGCAGTTCCAACCCCTGAATGCCAACACAGGAACGGTTCGCATTACTCGAATTCGGTAGCACCGCAGCATCACCACCCACCGGATCAAAGCTCCCCAATAAGCTCTCGAGATGCCCATCAGATGCCAACAGCGAGCTGAAGCTTCCGGTCATGTCGAGCAAGTGTCGGTCGGGGTCGAGCGGCGGGTAGACAAGAGAAATGGGCTCGGTCTTGGGGAACTCAGAGAGTTGAGAAGGGGGCTTAGGGGGATTGGGCCGCTTGCAACTTGACGCCGCGGAGGAGGAAAACGAATTGGAACGCTTGGAGTTCTTCCGAGTGCCACCGCCGACGGGAATGTTGCGGAGGGCACCGCCTTTGGTCCAGTAACGGCGACAGCTCTTGCAGAAGTGCCGCGGCTGCGAAAGGTTGTAGTTGTTGTAGTAGCAGAACTTGGTGTTGGTGGAGTCGCAGCGTGGGCACCTCAGGTTTTGGTCTTGCTCTGGGAACTGAGGCTTTGCCGCCTGAATCCTCGGGGCCGCCGCCTCCGCCGCCGTCCTATCCTGCATTGTCTGGATGAAGAAGAAAAGCTACCGCGGTGTCTCCTCAGCAAAGGTGAGATTTTGATGCAGCTTTTCCTTCCTTTTTCTTGTATTTGGAAGTGTCTATGATGCAGAGGATTGGGTCTGTTTGACGAGAATGAAAACAAACGAGAGATGCCACCTACTCTAGAGGAAGCACAACCATCATAGAAGGGAATAAAAACAGATGACTCAAATGATTCAGAACACAAAGGAAAAAAATGTCAGCTTTTTTATCAATGCAACAAAGGAAAACAAGAAGAAGCCGAAGACGAAGACGCCTTTGATCTCCTAATGTCTCCTCCTCCAACCAAACTACTACGGACATCTCAAAAGACTTGGCATGAGAAGGGCAAGACAGGAAACGCATCGAGATCAAAGACACAGACGAAGATAGTAAAGAGGTAACATTTCCCAACGGCAAAGCAGCCTCTCTCTCTCTCTCTCTCTCTCTCTCTCTCGCTCTCTGTGCAT